CTGGAGCATGCACGTCAAGTCTCTTACCTCTAATCTACGAGGACAACTCTAAATCCCGATATGAGAGTTTTGCTTACTTTATAATAGAGTATACATCCCATAACACCAACAGTTTCCCTCTTCCTTTCAGGGGTTTGTTACGAAATTTTCTCTGAAGTATATATTATTCAGTAAACTCGCTCAACCATAGGGAGAAAGGTTCATGCGATCAAATTAAAAATATAAGCAACTAAGGAAATAAATCTAAATACCAAGGATGTATGTAATTAATTAATAAAGTAAGTATTTATAGTGGAGTATTTTAAAAATATTGAGATGCACACAAAAAAGTTTATCCGACATAATTATATAGTCAGTGTGTCACCACCCTTACCCACCCCAAAAAATTTGGACGTATGTAAGAATAACGCAATTAGTATTGAATAATGATATGATAAAATGTATAAATTAATAAATGAAAGGGTGATGTGTTTAAAATTTCCTCTTAGGCTTTTAGGCGCTTTAAATAATACACATGCCCTCTAGACGTTAAGATCCCAATAATTTATCCTGTAGACAGTTTCTATCAACACTTTCTTCGGCCCTATAGAGCAAAACAATATACTAAAATTGCTCTCTAGATAAAAAAGCTAAAACTTCTTCACGTCTCCAGAGATTGAAAAGGCGCCACAAAAACGAAAGATCGAAATCTTTACCGAATTAAAATGAATATATATACACAATTTTAAAGTAATTTTGATAGATTAAATCCACCAGTTAAAATTAATATAAATGCGAAGAGCGTACCCTCAGTTGTATGAAGCTACCCTTTCTCAGCTTGTCTTAACTGCGTATTGTAATTGGATCATATAAGTAACAGAACGTTTGGACTTGATAACTCAAATAATTTTTTACCTCTTGAAAGAGGCGCCCTATTTTAGGAGGGGGGAAAAAGTTAACACTTGCACGGGTTTACTAACAAATAACTACAAATTAATTTAAAAAGTATTTAAATTAGCAAATAAAGGTTAATGAATAAGGGTGATACCAATTTTGATGGCGATCTTCGTAAGCGCTTCATTTAATATGACAAAATATTATTAAGGTAATTCCAAAAACTATCGGATATTTTATTAATGATGTAAAAGAATTTAAAAATGCTGAATAATCTTATTAATATTAAAGCTCTTTCCTCCTTTTTTTTATTTTTGTTTGTTTTCATATTTTTATCTTTTAGACACCTTTAAATTTTAACAATAATTTAAATAGAGAAAAAAGGGAAATTTAATTAACGGCGAAATTAATTTTGATTGGTTCTTCTAAACCGTTTTATAAATCTTGCTCACTTGGAGCCCACTTTTAGAGAAACAAAAGATTTACTGGGTGCTGCTTAGCTAATTAAAAGGTTTATTTAAGCTTACAACGCAAGTAATGTTATTTATGGTTTGCGTGGCATTGCCCCTAGGTAGTTTAAATGTGCGTGTAAATAACTTCAGGTGCCCCAAGCCGATCTTAGGTGCGGTGTAAAACCATTTAATTAACCTATTTACCTCTCTCTTATTTAACATCCTAAATATAGGCGCTAGTTTAACTTTAGACTACGCGCAGGGGGAGCTAGTTTTAACAGTATTAAAAACCACGAAGTTTTTACAACAAATTAAGCCCTGAAGCTCTAGTCTATCCTTTATTATTACACTTCTTTTTTTTGCATATTATTTACTTTATTTTTTTGTTTTATCTATTTTACATTCTTAATGTTTATAAAATCTAATACTTAGGACTCGCTGACCATGACGTTATAGCTTTAGTGCGACAAAAAGAGTTGCCGCTCGCCTTGAGTATTTTGAGATGTGCGAAAAGGTACTTTCCCCTTCCGCAAGGCCTCTCAACTTCTCTCTATGAACGGCTTACCGAAAACGCTAGTCCTTGGTTAACAAGTCATGTATACGAGTGACATGATCAGGCACGTTTTCGCCTTTCGCAGGATGTACTTTACCTTTTTACTTCATATGTCCAGAGAGCCAGAACTGATAAAGTACAATTAAATGCTTATGAAAAAATATAAAATTAACTTTATATAAAACCTTGATTCTGTGGAGCACCTGCTGAGCTGCGGTTTTAAAATCAATTCCATAAAGCTAGACGAGAATTTACTTTCAGAAACAGTTATCGGTATTGCATTTTAAAGGATCAAAATTCTTTTCAAGTTGAGCTTGAAGGAAACTATTCAATAGTCAATATATCGGAAAGGATAAATTAACTCAAGCAACAATCAAGCAACTATGTTAGGTGTGTCTTACAGATTAGTTACCTACCTTCGATATGTAAAAGGAAAGCTTTAGGAAGTACAACCCTAAACAAAACCTAAAACCTAGATAAAGTCAGTACTTGGCATTTAGTAAAGGAAAAGATTAATAACTACTTGAAAAGTTTAGTAATAAAGAAAATTAGTAAAAGGGTTTGATTTCTATAAAGCTTGAATCCACTTGAAATTAGTTAAGTAAATAAAAATTTCTAGTGGAACTAACCAATATAGAGTGAACTTAACGATAAGAACAACTTTTCCATATATCAATTTATAGGCCACTTGATATTTATTAAATTAATAAAGGCTTGTTGCAACATACTTTAAAAAGAGGTCTACAATAAAGTTAAGAAGCAAAAGGTAAAACTTCCAATATAAAAGACTATTTCTGCATATAATCGCATAGGTAGCGTCACTAATAAAACTTTTTTTAAGTCCGGAGTAGTAACGTTTAAAAAAGGTAATGGTAATAAATCACGTGTGCTTGATTTCCATACACCCTTTACGTTTGGCCCACAGGGCGAGTAGGTAAGCAGCTGCCCAGGTCCATTAGATTAATTTTTGGGTGCCCAGCGTCCTAAGGGTTGAGAGTAAAAATAAAAAATTATAAATTAAAATTTTTTAAAATCGGTGGTTTTTAAAACTACAGAAGCCATCTTCGTTCGCGTCAGATCTCAAGGCTCCTGTAAGCTGCATAGGTTGAATATTCTAAAGGCCTTTCGGAAAGTTCTACGTATCGTTCCTATAAGAACATGCTTTAACACTTATATCAGCTCTGCACTGTCTCAGTCACGCTCTTACAGATAGAGTTCTTCAAGGGTTGTATCTGTCCTCAATACCATCTGAGTTCTGTATATATGCAAAACTTAATACGTTAACATATGACTTTCTGCCTCTTTAAAAAGAAAGGAAGGGAATGGAATCTAAAAGTTCCATGCTCTACCGAATACTATTTAGCTAGTACTGAGAACAAAACTAAAATTCAAGGTGGTTAAGAGGAAGGCGCCCATTATCTCAAGAGAAAGTGGTCGCGCTTCTTTTTTTTTAAAAGAGCAAGAAACTCTCATAAACCCTCATGTACTTACGTGGGGCTCGTCCTCGAGGGCTATGCATTGTGGTATTAACGTAGCATAAGTTACGGAGAGGGTCGGGATAGTAACGTGAGAGGTTTTCTCATTATTGTGCGTAAAGAACTACTGCGCTTATGTAACGCCCCCTACGGTCCAAACACTGCACATCGAAATAAATTGCTGCTTGTGCTGACCGGCGCAATGTACTTTGTGCCCAACACAATCTCATATTGACCTAAGTGCCACACAAAGATAATTATTTTATCTTAGACCATCGCTTAGTACAGGGTCTTTCGCACTTGTCCTGGGTATTGCCTTTGCGATGCTCTATAAACATTATATCCTTCTTTTTCTTATACATCAGTCTTGCGGTTCAGAGTATTGAGTTTTGATATATTATAAACAATAATATAAAGCAATAAATTTTGTTATATAAAATGCAATAATATACTTACAGATTTACTTAAAGTTAGAAAGACTAGGAATTACTGATATTTTTTGAATTTTCGTGGCACAACACACAGTACCTACTAACTATTTTTCAAAAATTAGCCCGGGCGCACCAAGTAGCTACTTAACTCTATTGGTTCATGATATTTGAACCCTCCCATGATCAGCTTCTTAACTGCAAATAAGATAATAGTTTAACTAATAACAAAAATATTAACGTTAATTATAATAAAACTTAAGACGAGCTGTAATATAAGCCATACCAACTTTTTACATAGAATTATTATTTTTTTCAGATCACACTGTCTGCACTTGATAAATCGAAAATCCATGAAACCAAAAAAGAAGACTTTCTTTATTTCCTTGTTTTAAACTCGTTAACTAGACAGTATGTTTTCCAAAATTCCTTAGGAGGATACACAGTTATTTAAAAAAACCCATCCCTTGTTCTTTAATTACTATTAATACTTATAAAATTTATTATTTAACATTTTCACCTTAAAATCTATTATTTTTATTATCCCTTTAATATATACTTTTCCGCATTTTATTTTCTACCCACAAGAGTCAGTGTTTTATTATTTACTTCCACAAACTATGTGCCTTAATTTATTTATAAAAAAAACATTTATGTTTGGGATGAAAAGTAATTCAAACAAAAGAGCGTAATGGAGTTTCAGATCTTTTGTGCGGGGTGCGGTGCGGGGGCTTTGTTTACCGTACTACTTAACCCGTCTAAACCTTTAAATAGAGGAGATAATAAAATATATAAAATTTTACCAGCGTCTCTCTATAGTGATGATTTTAATTTTATGAAGACTAACAGCTATTCAACTATTTTAAACACATATAAGGTTTCAACAAGGTTACATACCCCCGAATAATAAATGCTATACATGAGCCAATTCTTACCTAAAAATACCTTTTTTATAAGTAATAAAATATATTACTTGAGTTAGATCAACTCTATGAGCATGAAGCGCAAAGTATTATTAGCTTACCAAAACTTAACCTGTTTACAAAACTTTGTGTTAGAAAATATTTTTTACTACACAGAAAGAGGATTGGCGATGCCATGCACTGGCGTCCTTCGGAGCTTCTTGTCGTTATGTCAAAAAGGACCAATGAACAACTTTTGCATATATAAGCCATTGGGCGGTAATAAATTCTAGTAATTTTTTTTGGTTTTTCTTTCGCACCTGCAAAGTGCGTACTGACTTAAACTTTTACAATGTCGTTTCCACCTGGGGCGCCCCCCTTTTTAGGTTATCATATGTATTTAAAACTTACACTAATGTATAGTCTTATAATTATCTTGTGCTTTCAGCGCCTACTCATCCTTACATGGTGGGTGTACGTACACCTGCCGTCATTCCTCCCCCTCAAACAATGGGTGAGTTCAGTCTTATTACACTATCAGCTAACTTTTTTTTAATATTTTTTTAACAAGCTGTCAATGCTGTACCTTATAATGTGGTCGTCAATCCTGGTTTTGGGGTTATGGGCCTTCCAACGTCCATGCCGGTCGTTATGCAACCCTATCCCCCTTTTCCAGGTAACAAATCTCTATTATACATTAAAACGCAAGTTGACTTTTTGTGCAATATAATCATTATTTGAGATTTGTGCATATCTGATAACTTTACTTGTTTCACGTCTGTACTTTTCCCTTTACTAATTTTATAACTTATTCGTGAATATGTGCTCTAGGTAGTGCGTTGACTGATCTTAGTACGTCTACTACAACCGAAGAAGAAGCCGTTTTAGCCAAGTATAGGATGCCTCTACCGATTTTTGTCGGTAACATTTCTGAGTTAGTTGCAGATAATCTTGTGCTTCAAGTTCTGCAGGTCCGTAGGACGGCATTTAAATTACTAAAGAGTTTAATATTTTTATAAAAATATTATATAAACAGAAATGCGGTGAAATTAACACGTGGAAGAGAGTCCGAGGAGACTCTGGCAAGTTGCAAGGTAACGCTTATATATAAGTCTTTCCAGATAACTTCATATTATTATAATAAATTTCTTTGCTTTTTAAATTTTTATGTATAAAATCCTTTAAAGTCGACGTTTACTCTATATATTATCGCAATTTTATATGAATACGTATGAGTAAACTTTTTATAAATAAATAAATTTTAAAAATTCTTAATTTTTCTACCATTTGAATATATAAACAATTTAAAATTAGCGTTCGGCTTTTGCGAATTTTCCAATCCAGAGGGCGCTCTAAGGGCTATGAAGATCTTGGGGCAAGTTGAACTCGCCGACAAAGTTCTAAAAGTCTCCGCAAATAACACCAACAAAACAACTTTAGGTCGTTTTCTTTTAGATTTCCAGAAATAACTTTTCGATTGAATCTCTATTTAAAATCAGAGGAATACGAAAAGGCTAAAAGAGAAGCAAGAATGAAGGCTCTTGAGTTGGAGGGGAAAACTGAAGAAGACTTACAAAAAATGGAAGAGTTGGAATTGAAGACGTTAAAGGAGTCCATTCGAAATTTGGTAGCTAAGTTTGTCGCACACACCTTCACATTGATTTTTTCACTCCCTTGAGGTCAACGAGTATATTAACGCAGCTAAAGAGAGTGGCGCCTTAACTCTTCGCCAAAACTTACTCGCTAGTGAGTTTGACGGCGGCTTGGCAAGGAGTGAGAAAGATCAAAAGTCTAAAAGCGACGAGGTCGATTCTATGCTGAGTTCGCTGAGAGCGAAAAGCATGAAAGAAAAAGACGATGGTGGGTTGTTCACTTATTAAGTTTTAAGCGTTAAATTCAAAATATAATTGGGAAGAGGAGGGAAAAGCGACTGACTCGCGTAAGGAGGAAGAACCTGCAGACTTCGATCCCGAGGCAGACGCGCAGGAAAGAAAACGTAAAGACTTGGAATACACTTTTCGGTTAGGCGCGAGATAGATATTCTTTAGTATATTTGTTAATTTTATAAAACTTGACTTACTAGTGAAAAAGTGAAAAAGTTAGAAAAGCGGGAGAAGGAGAGGATTAAAGAGCACGAAAGAATACTGGAAAGAGATAAAGAGAGGGAGGAACAGCTAGCCAGACGCGCTGAGAAGGAGTGGGATTTCATGCGGTACTACGACGATGATGAAAAGGACCACAAATATTACAGGTGCGCCCCTTGCAGACCTCGTTTCGGCGTTCCGTTGTGGATTAATAGAGCATAGCGTTGCGCAGATGGAGCGAAAGAGGCGTGAAAGGGAGCGCGAGATCGATTTGGACGAGCGAGATATAATAGCAGAGCAAAGAGAACTGGAAGAGCGACAACGCCGACAGAAAGAGGCAACTGTACTCGAACAAAATGCCATCGAGAAGGAAGACCGGCAGTCCCCGATCCCCGCGCCGTCCGAATTTCCAGCGGATCCGGCAGCGGTGAAGGCCCCCGTGATTACAATGACTAGGCCGTTCCCCTCAGCTTTAAGCCAGACAACCCTTGAGCACCTTAAAAAGGCTTCTGGTCCTGTGGACTCGCTGTTTGCCCCGGAAAACGAAGACGAGCCGCCTGTTCTGGAAATGCGCTCGGGTGGCCAGTTCGGGGCGGACGGCGTTGTTATGTTCAACGAGAAAGAGCTGCTGAAAAACGGGCTTACTCCCGAGCAGGTTTAAGGCCGTTGACGGATACAGCTCTCATGTAAGCGGTTTTTTTTTCGTGACAGGTTGCCTCCGAAAGAAAAAGAATAATGAAAAAAATCATCGATAGGATTCCCGTGAAGCAGGAAGAGGTAGCTTAGTGGTGGTGGTTGAGGGGGAGAAGACAGTGATGGTGTTCTTATGATGCTTGCAATTATAGTTGTTTGAAGTCACGCTGGATAGGATTGGCATGGACTTGATCACCAGGAAGGTTCTTCCGTGGGTCAACTCAAAGATAGTAAGTTACATTGGCGAAGAGTCTCCCGCGCTGGCAGAGTTCATATGCGAGAAGGTTGCCGCAAGCACGCCGCCACAGAGCATCCTTGCGGACATTGAGCAGGTTGGCTTTTATAATGGAGAAAATACAACTACTAATTGCTTCCAGGTTCTTGACGAGGATGCTTCGCTATTTATGATTAAGCTTTGGAGATATCTTGTTTTTGAAAATGAAGCGATCAAGTACGGCGTTAACTGATATTCTAAACTAAAAACATCCTCTGCAACGATCAAGCAGTAATATAGTTCCTGGGGACTGACTTTGGGCAGTCATAGTTTTAATAAAATATAAATTTTCTTTGATTTTATTTTTCTAAAAGTTCTTTTATCGTTTTAACTGGTTTTTGGAAGTTGTCTCCCTTAATTACAAGACAAAACATTAACAATTAATTTTTTACACTACTTTTTCTTAACAGAATAATTCACTGTTATGGTTAATGCCTGTAAAACCCTGGTTACTAATGTAAACATTTTCAAAAATCATCAGCAGAGTTATTTTCGAGCAGCGACTCAATCCACCTTTCATCAAAATCCAAGTGATTTTGGGCTATCAGAGATAGCTCTTAAAGTAAAAGAAGACAGTAAAACAGTTTAGTAGTAATCGATAAAGAATTACCTTCCTCTTCAAACTCACGATCAATTTCTTCCATAATTAAGTAATAATCCAAATCTTCAGTGTCTGCAAACTTAACTTTATGATATATGTTATCATTTCTTAACGTAGTCAACCCCTCTCCCCTTCTAATTTCCAAATTAACTTTTTCCTCTAGCACTACCTCTAGAAAAAGTTTTACTTATTAATCTTAAAAAAGAAATCAGTTATCTAGGACAGGAAACCTTTACCTTCAATAAGTTGCATTTGCTCCTTTGGAAAACGTCTTTTAAACCATTCTCTTTCTTTTCGCTCTCTCACTCTTTTTTTGCACTTTTGCTTAAATTTTTCTCGGAAAGATAAGTAACAGTTACTAATTCTTCTATCGACTCCAGCTAAATTTCGTGTTGAATGGGTCGATTCCTCCATACTTAAGCTTATAAAAGAACTGCGCTTCCTCCGATTAAGTAGTCTCTCCAGCCATTTTTACAAAGTCGGTCAAATAGATAATATCAGGAAAGCATCTATTTGGCCATTCTTATTCGTTACAGAGATTACGTGATATTGGGAAGGTCAAACAAAAATAGCAAGGCTAGCTTTCGTTCTTTTAAAAAAAGGTTGTAAACCATACAAAGTATAATTAATTTTTATGCATTGTAACTGGTTCTTCGCGGTGCAAAGTCTTCGAGTTAGCAAAGGCTTAGCTCTGTATTTATATATGCACCCATTCATAAGTGAGAAAAACAAATAAAAATAGTCCATGGCCAAGAATATTCGTCGTATAGACTATTTTAAATATGCACCTCAGCTAAACGTACTGTATTTTTAAAGCTTACATAATGTTAGCCTTGCCGGCTAGTCTCAACTCAACATAGTAAGTTCAGCAGTTAAAAAATCTTATAACAATTAGGATGCCATAAAATATAAAAATCTGGTTTTAAAATAAAGTGCAAGCGGTGCACTTCTTAACATTCAACTCGTTAAAGAACTGCAAATATTTTTACTACTAAATTTTTTAGTGTACGGTGCGAATCCATAAATTTTTATTCAAACCGTATAGAAAGGTTTCTCTCACACAGCTTTGCTTTTTCGAGCCTAAGTAAATTAGTTGCTTACCCTGCGACCTAACTTTTGATTTCAAAGTTGTGTTAGCAATACCTTCCACTCCTTTGCCTTAGTGATGATTAAGAGTAAAGTGCAGGGGTTGTAATAACTATTACAAATGTACATAGTACTAATAATATAATAAAAATATGTATGTGAAGTCAAAGTTTTTTTAGCTAAGTGAAAAGACAATTATGAGTGCAACTATAAAAAAACAGCAATTTTACTAGTATGCTTTTTATAGTATAAAGACTTACTTATCAGTCACTGGATTGAACGCAATAAGTAATACCTTACTTATATTTCCTTCAATACTCAAAAAATTAGAGTTAAGCAGTTAAGGCTACAAAATTAAAATAATTAACAGTTTATAATTAGACCTTGAGTTGACAAAAAAGGGAGTACAACGCTAGATGCTTAAATCTCAAAGAGGACTATGGTTGCATTATATTAATAATATAGCTTACAGGTTTATTTTATCTATCACTGCTAAGACTACTGAGATATGAAGTTCAATTTGTTGAAGTAATACGCTAAACAGGAGATTGACTTATTAACGCTTCGTAGACTAAGTAGCTTATAATAAGGGTGTCTTCAATAAAAGTTTCTTTATTGCCGAGAAAATAAAACAATAGCGTAATGGAGTCGCCGTGGATCTGTTGTTTACTATACTTTTGCCTTTTTGCTTGGCCCCTTCTTCTTTTTATTCACTATAATAGTGAATCAGAAGAACCAAGAAAAGAGGAGGTTCAAAGGACTGAATAAAGGAGGTCTAGGTATTTAAAAGGGTGATCTCGAATGGCCCTTTGTGCTCTGTCGGCGCTCACTTTTAACAGGAGCAAAGCCCTCGTTGTCCTCGGGATCCCACTCCCAATCAGAGAGTTCAATGTCCTTCCAGCCTTCTACTACTTCTCTAGTGGATATGCTCTGCTCTTCAGTGGGTCGTATAGAGCATTCCTGGCAAGGAGGTTCAGTCTGAACTCCTTGTGCTAGACGAACTATAGAAGAGAAGGCGTGCGACACGGCTCGCTCTAGAGTAAAGAGAAAGGTAAAGCCAGACTCCGCGATAGTCAGTAAAAAAATATTCTAGACCAGTCCAGGAGGCTACAGAGCCTTCTGACGAAGACTTTAGCGAACCGCTTTTTTCGCGGCTGGAGGGGGGCATGGCCTCCGAGTGCTTTTCCAGACGCGAGAGATACAAGGAAAGGAGTCGGAAGGTCTGGGCTCTCACCTGTAAAAGCATTAAGGAGTGTTCCAAGCGGGTAGAGCCGCTGTACCTCCACTTCTGGGTCAATGCAGCCAACAACCACAAGAGGAAGAATTTTTGTGGCCACTATTTCTTCATCGAAATATTCCTAATAGGAGTGAGAGAAAGAGGTGGAAATTGTTTTTCATGCCTTCAAAAGAAGGAAGAGGTGATGTTATACAGAAGTAGCATATAAAGCCCTGAGAGCAGCAACGCGTGTGTGATAAAAAGGATCTTTCAATGGCCTATTTGTAGGGTGATATACGGTTAGCAAGTCCATTAAAAGAAGCTGTAAGTTATAACAAGCACCTTGAAAGGGACGTTAAGAGGAACTTTTTCCTGTTTTGTGCGGAGAGAAAGGGCGCCATCTTTCCTTTTCAAATGTGTACGTTAATACTGAGAAAGTGCCAAGGAAAATACTCGTACCCATGCAGATAACCGTGTTTACTCTGATACCCGGATGCGGGTCTGTCTGGAGCGGTAGCAAGTACTTCGTTATCAACTCCTCGTGGACTTTGTCAGTAAACAGCGCGGCCAGTAAAAGACAAGCCTTTAGCGTAAGCAGTCGCATGGCTGCCAGGTTGTCCTGCCGCAAGGAAGATGGGAAAAATATGGTCGTATTTATATTTTTGTAGGGGATGTTTCGAGACCTTAAGCCCCATAGCAAGTTTCGGGAACAATTCCAGGTTCAGAAGGTCTTTCGAAAGATGCTTCCTGTACAACTCCAGATTGGAAAGCAGAGCTACGCGTGTTTCCCTAATAAAGAGAAGTGACCACGCAAAGTTTATAAAAGCAGAGCCCCTGCCCACCTTTCCGGCGAGGAGTACAGCCGCGACAAGTAAGGAGCGACCCTGCGCTGGAACTCGACCTCGTCTAGGGTCTGACCAATAAAGGTACTGGTATAACAGGCTTTCCGAAGCAGCACAAGAAGAAGATACCGAGGCGATTTTAAAAAGGCTCTTTAGCATATTGTAAGTACGAGCGCCTCCATACAACACAGCGTTGATCAGCAAAGGTAGAATCTTGTTATGACGGGACCGCAAGGAAATTTGGGGCAGAACAGTATTTAGCTGGAAGTACGACTCACTCATGAAGGAAACAGTGAGAGTGGGATTGTTACTTTGGCGCAGAAACTCATCTTCTCGTCTTCGCTTTTCAAGTGGAATTCTTCCAAGAATAAGCAAACGGCAAAAAAATCGCTATCAAACGCTCCGCCTTTACTTTTTAAGCTGGAAAGGACTAGAAGAGGTGATTAATAAATACAACCAAAACTACTACTGAGAAGGCCAGACCTTCCGCGCAGTTCGGCCTCCGCTGCGGGTCGTCGTGGACAAGCGATAAATAAACCGAACGAAGACTGGCCGGGATCTTTTTTACATCACGTTGAGGACTACGGAGATCCCCTTTATGGTTCGCATTGTTAAAAACCTAAAAAGACGTAAATATAAGGACTAGAGGCAGCATTTTAACTATTTGGTACAGATTTATGAAACCTCCCATATTAGGATTCCAATGCTGTAGACATCCACAGACCAGAGAGGATTTTCGCTGGAAAAACTTTTTTTCTTTCTTATTTCTGGCGGAAGATAGTGAGAATTAGGCAAACAGTTGAGATCGTCAAGCTCTTCAAGGGGTCTGCTATATTGAAGGCCGCCAAGCTTCCAATCACCAGCGTCATCCACATAGACGGAGTGCAGGCCGACGTTGCAGTGGGCCTTGAGTAATAGAGTAGTAAGTAGTAGCGATTATTTTGTTTTAATAGAATTGAAATTATATTGGAATGATCAATCATTCCGTAAATGTTAATTTTATTTTAACAAAGTGATATAGTTTTTACCAAAGAACTGCTATTTAAAAAGTGAACTGCTTTTAAAAGTTGATGCAGCCCCCAAAGAATTTGGTATTCTTGTTGCTTTGAAGTCTATAGTACAATAAAATGGTTAAGCCAAACTATTAAAAAATAAGTAAGACTTCTTAAAATATACAATAAAGTCACGATAACTATTATTTAAAAGTATAAACTAACTAAATTTTCAGCTTCAGATTCTAAAAATATATGAAGGGGCTCCACCGGCTCGGTACAAACAGCAATTAGAGTATCTGTTTCTTCTCCGTCATAAAATTTAAGCAAATTTGGGTGCCGCAAAGTTTTTAATCTTATTTAAAAGTTATATATGTAAAGTCAACAAAAAGTATAAATTGCTATATTATTAAATTAAAGGAGAAACCTCCGAAGAAATAACTTAGCAAGCCTCAAGTTTTCCTCAGATTTGTCTTTTGAGAGTTTGTATTCAAAAACGGAAACCTGTAAATTGTCGCTATTTCTTTTACCTGCCTAGTGTTTTAATAACGCCACGTAGAACTATAAGTTAACACTTACCTTTTTTAAGGGTGAATAGAGGATCTAAACTTTGCTCAGAAACAGACTACTTAAAAAAGTAAAGTTAACCGAAATTAACCGTCTTTATAAATTTTTTTTAAAAAAATTACACTTACTTCTATTGAATAAGAGGAGCTGTAAGAATTTTGCTTAGTCGCTGAAGAAAACAGCGACCAAACTTTTTCCATTGTTGCTTAACAATTTAGCTTAAATAATTCATTAAAATAATTAAAGTATAATAAGCGGTATAAAATATAATAAAGAAAGAACGGTTTTTACAAAAGTATAACAAAAGATAGGCAGCACCGTGAGGCTGTGGACACTGACCGTTTTGTGTGTCTTAAGAGTCATTTGCTATAAACTTGGCTAAAAGCAAACTAATACCTGACACTATGGGTAAGGCGCATATATTGCCAATTCACTTTATTTAGTTTAAAACTTAAATCCTAAAAGCTATTTACGACTTGTTATTAATATATTATTTAGAACTATATTTTTCATCTGTAATTTAGCAGCTTTATTTATAGTTAGGCACCTTTAATCTCTCTGTCTATTGATACTATCATATATTTCAAATGTTTTATGTATATTATTCAAACAAGGGCATGTTCTTTTATGTTATTTATAGATCAATTTAATTTAATGCGTGGAGGTTACCGCTTTAGTGGTGTTACTGATCATTAACAAAAGATTGATATTTTTTCAACGTTTAAATATGAGTTGGCCACTGCTTAATTAAAGCATTGGCGCGTAAAACCAAAATCCGCTGGTTTGCTTCCCTCCGCTGAGGGCACACTTCCTGGCCTTAGTGTTTACCATGCACGAGATTATTAAATTTTAGTGGAAGCATATAGGCATGAAGCCCTCCTACAAAAGCTTTCTGTCACATGGACCTTTTACTCTATTAAATCCTAATTAGAAGGCGGTCTTCCGTATTTTTTAAAACGACTGCTGCTACAGGGGTATCATTAAAATGTTTTTGCTATTCGCGCTATGTGTACATGACATTTTAACCCGGTGGTCTACGCACGCCAATAACCCTTCATGCCCCACGACACGGTAGTCTTCGAGTCGCCAAAAGGTCTGAGCACCTGCAGTATAATAATCGACTCTATACCTAGTAAAAGCGCTTTATATTTTAAAGAAGCGCATTGCGCTGTCTCGAACGCCTAATTTTCATGTACCCTGAGGTCAACTCTTATATAAAAGGCTTGCGCCCGGTAGAGAGCTTCTTGCTTCTTGTTATATCCTTTTTATACGTGAAGCTTGTCTTACTTCTCTTTTATATTATCTTGGTTCTGGTTTTGACTCTCTTGTTTCCCAAGTTTCTTTCTCAGTTTAATTGGCTACTTCCTTCTCTTTTTCAAATATTATCATTGCCTTTACAATTAATTGTACTTAATAACCTATCATATACTTTTATTATTCTTTTATTTATTCAATTGATAACTTTGGCGCGCGACTTTTAAGTCGCAACTTCTTGTGCTGTATGATACCCTGAATGTCCTTTGAGGAATTTATATGAACGCCATCATTCTATACTACAAGTGGATTGACACATTTTCTACATTACTGAGCGAAAAAACCTTTACAATTTTCTGAACTTTACATTCAGGAAACTCTACATTTTTTGGTGGTTCGTGAGCAATTGTGATTATACTTAAACAACTGCTGTAACGTACCAAAAGGGTAACGTTACTTTTACGTTGGTGATACGCAGCCATAAGGAAACTATTTGAACTAATATATTATTTATAACTTTATTAATTCCAAAACAAGTAAAGTAATCACATCACAGAACAGACTAGAGGAGAACAGAACAAAAGGACAGACGAAAAAAATGAGCTTTGAAGCAAGAAGGGTGGCAAAACCATAAATGTAAGCACGACTTAAATATTTTGGGTGTGGAGGAGAGTGTATACTCGTGCGCAGATTCTAGAGAAAGTTATAGCCGGGTATTACTGATGCAAAGTTTTGTGGAGGGCAAATAGACTACTACTCAGTGCTTACGCGGTTTTTCGGTCATGCCACGAAAGTACTATTTATAAGGCCTTGATCTACGACATTATTAAAGAAAGTTTTTATATTTTTTCAATATAACATCCTTGCTTTTCAACACACTTATATCGGTACTAACCACCCATAAAAACAGCTTGATGTTTTGTCTTAAACTTGTGCATAGACGGCCTATTTTACTCCACTATCTTCGCTAAACCTCCTCCCCCTTGAGTCCGATTTCAGTTTTGCAGAGGAAATAGTCGCTGGATACCAGGTCTGGACTGTAAGGCGGATGGTTTACACCAATAAAGCCACACTTACGAACTGCAACTTTAGCAACTGCAGCGGGATGAACCGGAACATTTCACGCCGATTATCTTCAATGACTTCCCGCAGTTTATGTAATAAACTTGCATAGTACATCCCAATTACAGTAGTTTCTTCTTTGTTGCCCTTGTAAACCCTGGCCCTAATTTTTTTGGTTGTTGGGAGCCTTATTGCTATCTTGGCGGTGATCCATCCCGCTAGCACCACTCTATTGATTCCTTTTCGACTGAAGACCATAGTAAACAACCATGGTTTTGTCTTCAGTAACAATGGACTCAATACCTCTTTCTCATTATCGTGGTAAAGCTTCAAAAATTAACGACAGCAATCCACCCGTTGTTTTAAAGTGGGTGAGAAGTTTGGGCACCCATCTTACGCTTATCTTTGTTATATAAGATGACTGTGAAGAATTCAAATAACCGTGGCCTTCGCATGGCGATCACCTAGTACCACTTCTTCAACTAATATTTTTCGGAGTGACCACTGCTGAGGGGCAACTTCACGTGATCATCTTTCAATAGAATTTCTTACTAAATGGAAAAGCTTGGGCCATTCTTTCACTATGGTGAATGATGGCGGAGACCTTTAAGGTGGTAGGGACACAAAATGCTTGTTACCTATTTTTAAGAAGCTGACATCGCAGTCCCGAGTAACTGAGGTTTAAAGGAGACAGATCTGCCCCTATTTAACCTGAGTAGGTGGAAAACCGATTAAAACCACCACAGGAGAGGAGGCCCATCGACTTTGACCCCTTTCATTTACCTCTAAAAAACTTAAACTCTATAAGCAAATTATTTGGCCGACTATAACTTGCGAAGCCCTAGCATAACCCCATTGCAGTTCTCTAAACATAAAAAGGGCTTATAATGACTTTTAACATAATACTAAGTGATCTCAGGGCTTGTGCTAGATGTACACTTACACAGCAACATAAAGTTAAGGTTAGTTTGCTAGATTGTTTTTTACATTGGAATAAAGAGCTATAAATAAATTTACTTCATTTTTACAATTTTTCCTCTTGAGATAACATATGAGATAGGTATATACACCAGAGACGCGACATTTCCCAGTCTTAATGGTTCCTAGAACGTAGAACTCGATCCTAAATTCGTTAATCTAATTATGCAGTGTTCTTCCGTTAGGGCCTGCTATAGTATGTCAACTTGTTGAATAAAAACTATTTCAATTTTTCCTACAGAACTACGAGTTACTTCTGCAGTCTACGTTTCTTGTTTTGAATACAGGAAAGTCAATTTTGCGCCCATTTCAAAAAGAAAATTAATTTAGTTGAGCTTTCTCAACGATAATAATGTCGGGCATTATGACATACTGAGGATGCGATATATTAGACTCGTTTACAAATAGAAGCTTAGCAGCATAATATCCGTGTTGTTTACAAATAGATAATATTGCCTTCACATGGTAATTAGATACGGGCAATATGTAACCAAATCGAGTCACAAATCCTTTTTATCTGAAGTATACATGTGTAAAGCTTATACGTTATAAGCGTTTAAGGACCAAAAAAATGTTCAATTTAGGCTTTAACAAATTTGCATCTCTTAAACCACGGTGCAAGCAATCTTATCGACCACTCAGGTACTTAGGCATAATAGTTGATATTAAAAACGCAATTCTGTTTTTTAAAGCAGCCAAAGTTAGGAGAAGTGCCTTTGCACAATATTTTTTCTTTTAAGAAAAAATGAAAGATTGAAAAATTATGTTGGAGGTATAACTTTATCAAAACTCGTCGGCCTTAATGGTTTGATATGTGAGTGTCCTAATTCTTTCTTTGACAGGGCATTCTTCTACTTTATGGAAACGCTCTCCGCCATAGGCATTAAGCTTATTCTCTCCCTGTGCTATAATACGTAAAGTACATTTCTAGTAGAAATCTCGGTAACTGCAACATACATGCCTTCTTTAAATTTGAAGCTCTAACCAACGCTAAGCGGAGGTAAAAGCCACTTTGTGGTTTGTACGTAGACGTAACCAGTATAATTGTTTTTTGATTCCCAAATTGGTCGATAACCCAATTAAATTTTTTTTTATATTACTAAATTATAGTAAAGTGGTCATCCTCATTAACGTAAAATACAATCACCAACAGATTTATTTGGTTTTCTCGATTAACTCTTAATATTAATAAGAGGCAACATTCGTTTAATCTCAAGAACATAGTTACAGCATGCATCTTTATGATGGTCTTAGCATCTTTGACGCGCTTACGGAGCGTGTGGACAAATTTAACACTTTATTAGCTGTGTAAGTGATTCATATCAATGACACGAAAGCCCTATACTCCTAGTAAATAGTACCACTTTACTTTGTTATTTATTTAATGGCATTATTGCATGAGTTGATCATAAATAGCGTAAATATATATCCCCATAATATGGAGTGTACAGAATTTATGAAAAATATACAATATACATCGGCAACAAGTTCCATCCAAGGATTGGGAGAGTACATTAGGTCCATTTCAGAACCTGATCTCTTTATTAATACTTAGCTGCTCTTAATTTGACCATTTCTCTAAAGACATTTTTTAAGTAGTAGTTTCGAGCCCCACCGATGCGACTCCCTTCCTTTTTCGGTCTTTGATGGTTGTCTGTTTAACCTCACCTTAAGAAAATCTCAAAGGGGTATACTAGCTAAATGGTTATATTTAACAGGTTACATACGTAAAACTATCATACAGGAAACTTAATTGTTCCTCTCGTTGTTATATTACCAAATATAATAACATACTTTCTAAACTTAATAACAAAAAAATATCGCCAAAGTAATAACTTACCTTAATTCTTTTTGCTAGCGGTTTTTGAAGTCATTAAACTCTATTTACTATCTTTAAAATGCAATTGTGGTGACAGATTTAGCTCACTTAATAAACTTTGAACATTGTTTAAAAAAATGCTCTCAACTACTGTAAGTCTCCTGCTTTCTTTAAAATCACCATAAACGCTCTCCCTTGTGGTACGCCCCACTTAGCCACTTTGGATGTGTATAATATCGCTAAAAGTCTTTATTGCAAAAAGGAAACTAAGAAGAGTAAAGAGTCTTTAAATAATTCTTTAAAATCTTTAGAATTTACCTAAAACTAGTGGCCCCAATTTTAAAAAAAAAAATTTTAAAATTGATCCTAAATAGTTATAACTTGCTAATTTTTTTTTGCGAACTATTCCGTAATTTTTATGAATTTTTGTAGGGATAGTTTTAAACAAAAAAACTTGAAATTTGAATGAAAGGGAAGCTAATTGTCAAATTTAATAAAATTAATTTTTATAATAAATTAAATAAATATATTTAAAAATCTTAACAGAAAAAACTTACAGCGCCTCTAAGCTTAGAATATAGAAAGTAACCTTTCGTTTACCGATTTTAGCTCGTTGGGCCCTAAATATCTATAATTTAACTTTAATCATTCAGTAAATAAAATCGACAATCGCAAAACAACTAATTTTATTATTATTAATTAAAAAAAGTTATCAGCTTAGAAAAATATTCTTTAAAAGTTTAATGAAGCAAGAACTGGTAAAAATAAGTCATTTCAGTATTCTAAGCAAATCAATTAGTTCTGTAAACGTTACAAAAAGTTTAAATTGCGCAAGTTTCTATGAGCGTCCATTGAAACATGTAATTTATCATACTGAAGGTATCCAAAAGAAAATTTTTATTACAAAAAATACATTTAGGGAAGGGGAGTCTCAAAAAACTATTAATAAAAAGGTTCGATGATTTAATAAATTATAAAGTAAGTAATAAATTTACAGAGCTAGCAGATTTGTGAGGCCCCTGAAGGTGATATTGGTTTATTGAAGCCAGTATGTTGGTGCCTAGAGATCTTCATATAAAAGTTGAGGGAACTTCAAAGAAACCAAGATAACTTAAACGTGTATACTTTATAAAGCATTGAGACTCTTAATGAAGTAATATAATTATTTTATAAAGTCGAAAGAAATTAAAGTTTTGTTTTATTTTGGTATAAAACTAGTAACGCATTCATAAATATTTTTTGCTTAGAGTTATTAGTATCCCACCAATTTTTATCAAGGAGCTATAAATAGTTATAACTACATGATTTCCAACTTGGGTAAGTTCCTTGAAAAAGTGATCAATCAAAAAGTTAAGGTTTTCTGAAAGATCTCTGCATTTTTATATTTGCGAAGTTTAAAATTACTGCGTTAGAGCTAATTTACAAATGGATCAAAAAAAGGAAACTTGTTGATTGCAGTTTTTTTAAATTCTTTTATGGTGTTTTGGTAAAGATTCTTATAACATAAAGATCAGTAGATCATATAAAAGTTATATTTAAATGTTAAACAAAGTTTTGTCTCGTTGAAAGCGAATTCTTTTAGGGAACAAAGAGATAAATCCAAGTGTCCTCAGCAATAAGTTGAAAAATTATTTTATCTTTAATATAGATAAAAAGTGATTTAGTACTAGTTTATAAAATGATTTATATCTGTAAACCCCAACGAAATTGGCTAAGTGAGATCAATACTTTTAGACTGTTAATAATATTACCTTTTTCTTATGGGAGTAATGTTAACTTAAGATATCAACAGATTTGTATTATTCCAAATAAAGGCGCACACTCTAATTCAAGTTTCTTAAACAAAGAAATTCCTTAAAGAATGTCAAGAGAGAACTTATAAGTTAGGGTAACTATCTAGATTTCCACAACGTTTTAAGGCTAAAATTACATACACAAAAGCAAAGAAATATAACACCCTTCCAGAAAAAACCATTCCGGCTATGGAAGTAAATCTATGTAAAACTAAATATCTATAAGTTATTACTTATAAGAGAGAATGGAGGGATTAATCGCCACCGAAAGCAGCAGAGCAAATTATCACAACCTGTTAATACTGTTAAAACATTTTTTACTACCATAAAGGACGTTATGGTCCTCCCACTAAACAGCACCGTACGACAATTAAATTATTTTGTTTACTAAAGTACTCCCTATAATTATACGAACGAAGGGTGACGTGTACCTATTTAAACCTTTACAACGAAATATCTGCTGCAATTTTTTTTATAGAAAAACCAGGATATATAATTTAATATTTGTAGAAATCCCGCGAAGGTATGCAATAAATCAGGGATAGCGCAATTAACTCAAATATGACAGAAAGGTTACTTGGCAAAGTTAACTCCATAGTTTCTCTAGCAACTTACAAAAACTAAATATAAAATAGTTAATTAAATTGGTCAAGGTATGCTGTATAATATGATTTTTTGACGAACAAAACACTTTTACCGAAGAAATTATTAACATATACTGACACCTACCACTAGAAGAATTTAAGTTGTCCTCAAGGAGGATACTACGCATATTTGGGTAAATTAGCGTAGTTTCAACCACTTCGTTCTGTTTTTAAGGCCCCAATACATTTTGTAGGAATGCTTACTCGCCCCGTTTTGGGCTTATGTGAATACTCTTTATGCTTCTATTACTTTATTGTTAGAAACGGAAAATATTCAAACTGTCATTTATTTATAAACTTTAATGATGAACTTTCAAAAAGAATTAAAGTTCATCTTTTCTTCTTAAATCTCCACTATAAACTTTGGAACCAACAACATTACCGGGCAGGTGCTACTCTTCTCCGTTAAGTTTTCATTATATCGACTCTATAATATATTGTTAAACTTAGGTAGCTTTCAGCAAGATGCAATTAAGAATTTACGCAACGTTTCTCTCCCGGGGATCCCTTTTTCCTTAAAATATATATTCTACCAAAAGTTCTATACGTTATTATTTCTGTTAGTTTTTTATCCATTATTGGCTATGTGCTCAGCACTTAAGCTCACTCTTTATGAATACAAACGTCAAAAAAAAAAAAGTTTTAAACAATTATTTCGAACTTTTGATGATTCTTTCCTTCAACTTCTTTTATACCCCTCTAATTGGTTTGTTTTTTGGAGGACAAACTGTGCGCTATCTTCTTGGTTACAAAGTTTAAAAATTTTACTTATATTATATTATCTATTGTGTTAAAGTTGGTACTTAATTAACTTTAACTTCTATACTCTTTAACTTTACAATTTAGAATATTTACATAAAGTACCATTTATCGAGTTATATTCGAGTGATGCTTTCTGTTTACAAGGCATTTTTCTGTAACAAAGTCCGACTCATATCGTTTTGAGGATAAATGGCTATTTATTGACGTTGCCAGCAAGCATAACATACCAGTGAGCCCTGTTTTTTCAAAAGTATGAAGATAATTGAAAAGATTTAATCATAAAAAACAGTTAAATTCAATAGATCCACAGCATTGTTTGTAAAGATCGAAATGAAGAGGGAGGTATGGGTATACAATTTTTTGATAACGTGACGAATGGTGGGAAATGGATTATACAAAAAAGGTTTATAAAATCTTTTTTGAGTTATAGTTATAAATATATACCAACTCTAACCTCTGACCCCTTTATAAACATCATAAGCGTACTTTATAAGTTTTCTTTTTACATATATAAAAAACCAGTAGTTCAGTTTCATGTTAGCTCCACTTAAGAATTAAAGTAAATTTATGAACTTAAATTTAGTGTTTTCCGGAAAAACTTATCTCTATATAAGTTTAAGTTTTCGACGGTAGGCGATGTTATCTACGAAGTTTAACGTAGTAGACCTTTCTACGCTGGCCAAAAGCCTTTTGAATACTCATAATTCATGTAGTAAATACACTTCACCCGCAGTTTTACGGCGTGCGACTAATGTAGTTATTTTTTCTATCAGATAACTTCAGAATTTATTTTATTATTTCTAGCTCGTTAACCGCTCATATTAAGTTACTTGTCACGTAGAATTTTGACTAATTTCTAAAGTGGTCTTTGTTGTATAGTATTTGTATATTTTTCAATCAGTCTTTTAGAATGCACTACAAATGTACATGTTAAAAAAGATTTCCAACATAACTTAATAGGGAAAGAGAGATATATAGAGCTATTATATGTAGAAAAGAAACCAAAAAACCACGTGTATACTTTTTATAAATATGTACTGCGATGCTTAGGTTGCATAACAGCAAATTCATGTCAAGTCTACTGCCCAAGACGGCGCCTCTTTCCACGTTTCGAGTGGTCACCATTTCCGAGTATTCGCTCCCTAACGTATTTCTATCTTTCTACTTTCCACAACACTATTAATACAGTAAGTAGATTTCTTCTGACGAAGCTGTGAGGCCTATTTCGTGCGTACTGAGAGCCGGGCATGCATACAGCTCCACGGACCACGAATGCACCATGTTCAACGTGGACTTATCCACTGGGATCTTGGGTTGCGCAGTTTCGTTCTGCTTAACTGTCGTCATTCGCTAATATATCTCACTATCAGGATGCGGAAGTAGCAACGCATCTTGGTATAAAGTGAACAACTACCAGCACTGCCTGGCTTCTCTTCTGCAGACAACCAAACAGTTGTTCTCTGGAGCTCAGGAGGGCGAGATACAGACCCATCCAGACACCGGTAAGTCAGAATTCTGACCGCCAACTAACGTAGTGCAGATCTTTTTGTTCTACTGAGGCCGGCAAATAGCTGGAGTGCGAGTTGAAAACATTGCAGACATCAAGGCGCTCTGTGTTTCTGCTCACAACACACTGCTCAGCGACGTACGCTTGCTGGCGGAAAATCGCTTCTGACTGCTAATTATCTTCACTGTGACAGGTACCCATTGTGGGCTGGGACGTGGCCGATACCACGGAGGGGCTCTTTCTGCTGGAAGCCAACTTAAGTTGTAACTTCTTCCACGGCACTTTTGACCAAAACGAGTATTATAGTTTTCTAGAAAGACAAATTATCTTCCTGGAAAGCCGTGATAAAGTGTAATAAAAGCATGAGAGTTGTGTTTATTTTAGTCTTCGTCCCAATTAGGGTTGTCACGCGGCTTGGGGCCGCCCGACTTCCGGGCCATTATGATCTGATCAATGCTCAGAATGGTAGTGGCTGCTTCTGTGGCTAACCGAATTGCATAATGCTGCAGCAGGACTGTTAGAGGTGGCGTGCTAGAAGGGGCAAGAAGGCAAAGAACTACTTTAGCGATCAGAAGGTCGAGAATGCCAACGTCTTTCGCATTGCAGAGGGAAACGCCATCATCATTAACATCCAAGCCATCCCAGACGCTTCCACTGCTGTGAACGGCGTGCATCTTTGAGAGCAGCTCAGAGGAATTTTTTCCTATTCCCATGCCGCATAGTATATAGGAAATGAATGGAGGAAACCCGCCACGGGAACCTGCGTTGTGGGCCAGCGTTGTGGGGATGACCTCAAATGCTTTGGCAAAACTCTTGACGGCGTATTGACTAAGACCCAAAATGCTCTGGCGAACAAAAAGTGTGAGTATAGAAAAGACCATGAACCTTCATGAGTTTACCGTGCCGTATTGGTTAACCATTCTTGCCAGTTCCAACTCCGAAGCAGCGGCCCCCGGAATCATCCTGGCGTCCCTGCTAAGCTGCTTGTACGTGTTGACAGCACTGTCGATGGCTCTATTGAGAAATGGCGTGTCGTATACCACGTGATAAAAGAGGCCCAGCAAAGCGACCTCTCGGTGTCGTCCAAGATGTTGGAGGTGGCGCCCCTCAAAATAATGGTGGAGACTACAGTGGATTTGTCTTCGGAATAAGCAGTTATTACAAAGTTGGAAAGAAAAAAGTGGCAAGGTACTATACTTTGGCTGAAGAGCACAACATTTTCATCACCAATTTCCGTCAATTTAATGCTGTCACAGCGCCCGACCTCCTCCGCCATGGGGGCCCCCTTATAAACCAATAGAGCATTAGCATAAAAAAGTGCAGGCCGTGCAAACGGAAGTAACCAGCCGGGCAAGTGGAGTGGCGCCAATGGCATTACTTAATCTCCGAAGATCGAACTTTGATTGGACCCTGACAACCATTATACAGTATTTTTCACAAAAGTGAAGAGCCTTTGCGACGATTAAACCGTGAATATTCAACGTTGGCGGGCTAATTGGTACCATATCTCCTATCTGGCTACCAGTGACCACCACATTGATGCCCGAAAGGCTAATTTCCCGAATAATTTGCTCCAGCGCTGCTTCTTCGTTATTACTGAAATTTTCTAGTTCTTTTCCTGCATTGATGCAAAAGTTAACAAATTGAGGAATGGGTGCCAAGAAGTCCGGAAACCTGTCCTAATAAGAACAGTTCCTTTTGTTTCGGTCCTGGAAATGTCCACTGGGCAGGAATAGACGGCAACAACCGCGTCCTCCACGTGGGTGATGGTGCCTGCAGCGACGACGAAAGTTCGCAGCACTTCTTGCGGAAGTCAGTCAAAGCTGGATGCCACAAGGATACCTTCGACGGCGCGCTGGAGGACCATACCGTTAACGATGCTTGAGTCCAGGATGCTACCACCAGGGATCTTCGTGACGCGGATGTTATCAACATTAAAGCGCCTATAAAAGTCAGAGAGAAGCAGAACAGAAATATATAAGAAATCACTGGTGTGAGGCAGGACAGACGTCTACACACGCACGAGCCACCAGTCGGGCAAGGAAATCTTCATAGCCGTACTGCTCAGCATAGCAAAGTACGACTTTTTAAACAAACATGAGAAAAGCATATAAAACCTGCTTGCTTCCAATAGAAGTTTTCAAACACTTGGCGACTTCGTCCACATCCTTGAAGTTTTTTAATCTGTAACACTCCAAGTCTAATAAAAATTAACAGGAAAGCATATACAATGTGTGTGTATGCGAAACCTCCAAGACTGGTAAGTGCTTTTTCACAAGCGTCGTTAAACCCGGTGATAACGTCGTTGGGATGCAAGCCCAACTGAAAAAGTGATAATGCCTGTTTTAGAGAAGAAATTTATATAGTAGATCATATGACGACGAGATTGTAACGGATTGCTCAAAAAAGGGAGTAAAGTGAACAAACAAGTCCTTTTGGTAAGGGCTAGCTTATATATTACTAAAAGCCAGTTCCAAAAAAAGTCAAAGATTAAAAAGTAAAAGTAAAAAATAAGAAGTAGAGAAAGGGAAATCCAAAATTATATAATAACTTGCTTTGATCAAAAAAATTAAAAGTTAACCTGCTTTAATAGTTCACCAGCAAAAATAATAACAAAGTTGGTAGCATCCCCAATTTCACGATCCTGCTGCTGGGAAGCCAAAACAATGATACGGGCGGCAGGATGCTTATGATATGAAATTCTTATAAAATAACAATAATAACTGAGAGCCAAAATAAAATAACCTCAACACTTAATTCTTTAACAATGGTGGAAGCATCTTTAGTAACAAAAAGCTTTTCAATTTGGTTAATAATTATTTTATTCATGCCTAAATTGTATATTATGCAAACGAGGAGCTTAAAAAATAATGAGAGCCACCAAAAGGGCCCAGGGAAGTTCTTGTTAATTCAGTAAGCTCTATGCAGGCATTAATGTTTCTTAAAACGGCTTCTTCTAGTCCAGAAAAAGACTTCAATGATAAAAATTAAAATTTATAAACTTGCAGGAACGAGTAAAAATTAGAATTAAAGTAACCTGAGCGCCTTTCTTCAGCATAGAGTTAAACCCGACTTGAGGTATTTTCAACATGCTTATTTTATAGCTATAATCATAAATTAATCAGTCACATTTTAATAAATAAGAGCGGGAGCTAAACTTACAGGTATTTCTTTTCGGTTTCTATAATAAAGTTATATAGCAAATGGTTATACCTAAAAGGTGATGCCAACCAGCTAAAAAGTAAAAAGGGAGAAGCATATGGGGAATGTTTGAGACCGCGCAATAATATTACTAACACGAGGAGCTTAGAAAGTCTCCTTGCAAGCTTTAAACATATCTATTGTTTTATCTCACACTCTCTGGTATTAAGTTTAATGTTTAAATACAGTTTCTATTTTTAACTATTAGTACTTTAACTATAACAGTGCACTTACGGCAAATTTAAGTGAGCCCTTTTTGGTTCCCCGATATCGGAAAAATATCGGTGCGTTGTTTGGGGATTGTGCAATTTTTGAACTGAGCTTGTAGAAGAATGATTTGCATCAGTAGAAAGAGATGATAAGTTAACTGTATCTTATCAATACTTTAGAACACCACTACTTTAAAAGCAAATATAAAACTGAGCTTCGAATGTATATAAACTAAAACTAGTGGTGCAAAACTGCCTAATTAAGTTTTCTTGTTAAATAACTCCTTACGTCTTGGACTCCCTTTAAAAACATGCCAACCCTACTGCTTTATAGTATTTAAAAGTTCAGGAAATTTTATTGAATTATGTGACGGTTTGCTATCTCCTTTACATCTGCATCCATTTTTGCCATGTTGGGGAACCCACCTTACTTATATTTGCCCTTGTACTAAAAGTACCCCTCTACCTTTCAAATTCTGAGACATTGTAAGCTATTGCTAACTGGGTAGATATCCTGTAAACTGAATTTTACAATTCTATTTTTATTATCAGCGCTCGTTAATATAAAAATTTAAATTTTTCTTTGCTCTCTTCAATTTATTAAACACTACTATAAAAGACTATGCCAAGCAACGACATGTGACTAACTTTATTTCCTTCAACTTGTTTCAATATTTTCCAGATATGAGCTAAGGTATATATGATTCTCTTCTGTGTATTTTATTTATAGTATAATGTTTTTTATAAAAATTTACTATTTACATAAACTTTAAAAATTTTCCTATTGCATGTTATATTATGTTTAAGTGTTACGTGTTATAAATGCTGTAGAAAACTGGACTCAACCCCTAAATTAAATATTTAAACTTAAACATTTCATATGCAAAAGAATAAAGCACTCCTGTGACCATTTCAGTAAGTACCATCCCTATATTTTTCACTAATTTTAACTCATTAAATAAAAAGAATTGACTAACAATATGCTGTCCCTATAGTGTATTATCACATTTGTTGGCTGTAGAGAGTTTAATATTTATCTTGGCAGGAAATTATGTACAAAGGTATTATAAATCAATATAAAATATGCTCAATTAATAAGTCACCTCTTTACACCAAACAACTTCTATTCAGAATATAAAGAGCACGGTGATCATGGTTACTGTTCACGTAACTAAAACATTAAATCTTTGAAGCTGCAAGGGGGGGGAAGGAAATTCACCAGGGCAATAGAGCTGTAGTTAAAAAATTAAGAAAACTTCGTAACTCTTAATCGCAAGCGGACGGCATTTTAAGCGACTCCATTTATTCGGACCATTATGTTTATTAAAACATACGTTGTCGAAATGCTCTTGCAAGAATTGTGCGCGACTTTCTCTCCACCAAATGTAATTAATAGTTCTTCTTTCTCTTAAAAACTAGTTGTGCTAAAATAAAAAATGAATTCAAATATTTGGTTGCGTCTATACATGCTAAAACTTTAAGCTGGGACTTGACCTTGTAGTAACTAACTCAAACCTCTGAGTAACCCATTAAAAGTAATTAACGGAACTCAGTTAATTTAAGTTTAAAGAGAGCTCTTCGTATAACTGCTAGTTAATAAAAAAAATATAGACAATGTCGCAAAGAATACAATAATTGCGCAGCTGAGGGAAGCAGAAGCGTAAACATACGTAAAAAAAATTATTAAAGAGAGAAGACACTCATATAGATAGGATAAACTCAAAGAGGTTTATAAAAAATTGGTCAGTAATAACTGCATTCTACCATTATAGATACTAGTACACATTTAGAAACACTATTAAAACTTGCAATGAAGTAGGCGAAAAATTTTACAAGTCCCCCTTATAAAAGATTTTTAGTAGACTAAAAATTACAAGGTGCCAATGAAATAATCGGAAAGCTTCTAAACGGTGTAAAAGCTTTAAATTAAAAAAATTAAGGTAACGAATATATACACCGTTACAACAGAATTCCTTAAGTTTTGAGTTCTGCCTATGTTTTACACTACTCAATCTCTATTAGCTTAAACCGATTTTGCAAAGGGGATGGAGGTAAGAAAAAAAAATTAACAAATTACTTAGCATAAGTGGACTTAAAGTTAAATTTTATACACTTTTCTCTCTAAAAAGTTTATATCATAACAAATGGTTTGAGTCATTTTGTATAAAAACCCAGATAGTTACATGTGTATTCTCCTCATATACGCCTTGTCAACGTACGCCACTACTCAAAACCACGTAATGATATACATGTCAACGCCATAAACGTAGTAAATCTAAACGGCTGACTTAAAACGTTTTCAAGGAAAAAAAAAACCATAGCTCATCTAAGATCTGACAATTCAACTAAAGTCTAGAAGTTATTCCCTTTTGACCCTTACACTAGTCATTTCGTATAACTACATGCGACGTGAGCACATGACAAGAATTCATGAACCACCTGGTGTACTGTTTACTCTTTTTTTGTGAGCTTGATGATGAAGGGAGTGAAAGCTAAAGTGGGTAAAGTTAAAAGAAGTATTAAGACTAAAAAACGTTTAAGCGAGAAAAATTTACAAGTGAAAGTTGACGAATATATTATAAGAAAGACTTGGGACCGCAATAAAGTAATTTGAGTTACTTTACCTACTTCCTCTTTGTTCATAATTTTTTTTATTAGACTTTAAAGGAAAATTACCAGAGAATAGGGCTAGCTGTTGACGTTAATATATCAGTCGACCCAAAGAAAAGCCATGATAAATTAAACAGTGATCAGTTCTCTACTGCAAGCGAACAAGGAGGCACCTTTTCCGTCGTTTCTAAATTAGAAGAAATGGCCAAATTTAAAAGAAAGAAAAGAAGTGCACTTACTAAAGGACAGTTATATTTTTGTCAAGCAATGATTCAAAAGCATGGCGATGATTATGTTGCTATGGCTCGGGATAAAAAACTTAATGCTAACCAAAAAACACCGAAACAAATACGCTGTATTATTAAAAAACATTTGGGGCAATCTGTGAAAATTTCAACTTGAAATGTTTTGCCAAAATTATAAAGTAGGCGTTCACTTAATATGGAAGTTGTTATAATATATTTATATGGTTTAAATATTGACGAATGTAAATATTACAAAGTTTGAGGGTCACAAAAATTTTCTTTAGGACTTTTTTTGCTAAGGAAACAACTTGGTTTGTAAACTTTATGAATAAAGTGAAGGTTATAATTAATAACGCATTCTGACTTATGTACAAGATGTATGAACCTTAGTGAGGCGAAGTAATACTAAAATTATGGTTACAGCCTTTGACCGCAATAAATAGTTTGTTAGAGCAGTTTACAATACTTTAAGTAATTCTCTAAGATCAAAATTAATGTACTTGCTAGTCTAGGCCAAATAAGACTAGCATTTACGGCAACTTTTATACATCTGGTATTATATTTTTCTGTACATTAAAGGGTAAGAAGCTTCTACATTAGCAGTAAAGTTAACCGACTTTAAACTTAGTGGATAAGTGTAAACTACTTATGGTAAATTTCTAAAGTTATCACCGCACGTGATGTATTTTTGCCTCCAAATAGTTCGTTTTATAAAAAAAAATAGGGAGGGGGGGTGTTCCAGTCCTTCCAAAGGGAAAGATTACACATTTACCTCGTTGTAATACGTGCATTCTGCAAGCCATCTAGAATGGTTTATAAAAGACATTTCACAATATTTCTTATTGACCATTGCCACTTCGTTAAGAGTTACTGTGCTCCTATTTTTATAGATGTAAGTAATAGAAAAGTAACAGTACAAAACCTAAGTTAACAAATTGAAAATTTAATTTTAAACGGAATAAAGAACTTTAAATAAACTCACTTTTTATTTAAAAATTTAAAAAAAGGTTTTTAAAATTCTTCAGAGCTTTAATAATAAATAATCTAAACAATATCTTTCTGGAGAAAGTTGCTGAAAGGAAAGTTTTGTAAAATGTTTACAATACGCTGTTGAAATTTCAAGGAAAATAAAAGTTCTAATATAAACAGGATGTTAATCTTGGGATGATTAAAAAAAAGAGATAATGCGCTGTAAAATGCATTGTGCTTTTAATTGTTAGGGATGGTTACTGCTGGATATCTTACACGGTAGAACACGGTCGTTAAAGTTCGTAAATTACCTTAAAATGGTTTTAAAGGGTGTACATCTTTTTAACCCACATCATTAAGTGGTGTAAGAGGACGAGGTGCTGAGTGTAGGGTTAAAAAAAAAGCACCGGAGGCATCATTACCAAGGTTACACTTAAAAAACAATATTTATCTTCATAGCACCTGCTTCAATTCATTGTGGCGTCATTGGATTTGGGTAAAAAAGAGTTTTATTGTTCGGTTCCTGACTTTACTGATAAAGCAAGTTTAAAAAAAAATGAATATAAAACTTAAAATTTGTGCACTAAATTCGATAAGTTATAATAACACTTTTGCCAAAATTATTTGATTTAAATAATATGTTTTTTTAATTAATAGTTATTAACGTTTAAACTAAATTTTGCTATGAAACGGCGAGTTCGCTCCTTTTTGATAGTAATTTACCTGTTAGCAGAAAGTTTTTTCATGGCAATAATTAAAGAAAGTTTTAAAAAAACCTGTAGAATTTGACCCCTTACCCCTTTCAAACCACAACTTACTAAATATGAGAAAAATTTTCAGAGTTTAAATTAGCCGGTGGACGCACTTATAGAAATAGAGAGGCCTTATCGAGAGCTGTGGGTTTCGCAACTTGAAGTTTTGAGATAATGTCGACTGAACCACTTGCGCTAGCGGGCCAAACAGTAGCAAATGAGCAAAAAACAAGACTTAGCCAAATGACCTTTTTGGACATATATAGTTCGCCCGATTTCCCTAGAAAATCTTCTATTATTTGTACAATAGGGCCGGGAACAGGTCTACATATTTTTATTTTTTGTTTCATATTTTAGATTTACTACCGAATAAAGGTACAAAGGAAATGCTTCTAAAGCTTCGCGAGGCCGGGATGAACATTATGCGCCTTAATTTTTCTCATGGTTCTCACGAGGTGATATTGGCTTTTCTCTCTCCTCTCACCTGCAAACGTTTAGCTACTTTTCCAAATCCTTCATACTAAATATATTCAACGAAATTATTTATTTCAGTTCCATGGAAAATTAATAGATAACTTAAGAGAAACTTACAGTGCTAGCCCAGTGTATGAGGTTGCCATCGCTCTAGATACCAAAGGTAGTCTCCCTAAACAAACCTTACCTTAAACTTAAGTAAATACTGCTCCGTAGGCCCTGAAATACGCACTGGTATAAATTTAAACAACGAGGATATTCAGCTTGAAAAGGGGCAGCATATTCGGCTCACTACCGATGAAAGTTATTATGAAAAAGGACAGAAAGATTGTATATACTGCGACTATAAAAATCTTCCCAAGGTTTATGACGTTTACAACTGTAGAAAATTCCTAACTATCTCTATAGGTTATTAGCAAAAACTCCATTATTTACGTAGACGACGGGCTTTTGTCCTTGAAAGTGATAAAAGTCAATAATAACTCTGTTGACTGTGAAATTCAGAACAATGGTGAGACACCTTGTTTATTAGTAGCTTAACAGAAAACATTTATAGGTCTCTCTCTACACCTGGCTAGGGATCCTGGGCTCTCGAAAGGGCTGCAACTTACCGAACATCGACGTCGACTTACCAGCGTTGTCTGAAAAGGACAAAAAGGATTTAGAATTCGGCGTTCAAAGAGGAGTGGATATGATATTTGCCTCTTTTATACGTCGAGCATCCGACGTCAAGGAGGTTCGCAAAACACTGGGTGAAGCAGGTATATACCTTTGTGCCTTATTCAAAAGAATAAGTAATACTACTTCGGGATTACGCAGGAAAAAACATTAAGATCATCGCAAAGATCGAAAACCATCAAGGAGTTCGCAATTTTGATGCCATACTAGCTGCGTCGGACGGCATTATGGTCGCTAGGGGAGATTTAGGCATCGAAGTTCCTCCTGAAAAGGTCTTCTTGGCCCAGAAGATGATGATTTCAAAGTGCAATCTAGCTGGTGTTGTTCTCTGCTTTATTTCTAAAATGCCCCGTTAATTGGGGTCCACGCAGGGAAGCCAGTCATATGTGCCACCCAAATGTTGGAAAGTATGACCTACAACCCCCGGCCGACGCGTGCAGAGGTTTCTGACGTCGCGAACGCTATACTGGACGGGGCCGATTGTGTCATGCTGTCCGGAGAAACTGCCAAGGGTTCATACGCCTGCCCTGCACCAGGAGCCAGCTGCTTGCTAACTGTCCGTCTCACAGGGAAGTACCCCGTGGAGGCCATCCAAATGATGGCAAAAACGTGCCGGGAGGCGGAGTCGGCTTTCCACTCTCGCCTTTACTTCGACGATCTGCGCATGACAAGAGGGCCGATCGAGGGGGCCGTCACTTCGATCGCCGAGACCATCGCCGTGGCTGCCGTGCAGGCTTCTTTTGAACTAAACTTTGCTGCAATTATAGTGCTGTCCACAAGCGGTACGACCGCGCGACTAGTTTCAAAGTACAGGCCGAAGTGTCCCATCTTCATGGTAACCCGCGTGGCCCAGGCCGCCCGCCAGGCCCACCTGTACCGGGGCGTGTATGCATTGCACTTTACCGGGGAGGAACTGGAATCGTTTCAGGACGACGTCGACTGGCGACTAAAGTGGGCAATCGAGAAGGGAAAGGAGGCTGGTCACTTAAAAGTATTTTATTTTTCGATCATGCTTTGGTCCATACTCTCAAGTTGGCGCAGGAAGGGGACCAAGTAATTTGCATTCAAGGCTGGCGCGGCGGTATCGGCAACACAAACTCTTTGCGGATTCTCTGCGCGGACGGCACAGATCTTAAATAAACCTTGCCTTTATACCTTTACTCCTTTTTCTTAAGAAAGCGGCTTTGGACAAAAACCCGCTCAACGTTGATTTTTTCCTTTCTGTTGATGGTTTCAGTGAAAAGGTATTCATTGCTCACCACCTGGAAACCTTGCGAGCTAAACAGTTCCTGAAGAAATTCTGCAGCAGTTAAAAACTAAATGTGTTAAAAAGTTGATTCGACAAAAGCAACCCAAAGAAAAGTAGTAGGCGAGTGTGCCGTCCTGACGCACATATAAATTATCAGACAACTTATGCCCTGCATAACATGTGGAATACATAAAAGAAGGAATAAGACGTAAATTTTATATTACATAAAATTGGTTTTTAAGCTTTACTTACAAAATATGGAAAATAATTATTTTCAAACCTGTAACTTGCATAAACTTTATTGCAAACTTTGTAACGTGCTGTATAACTTTTATTTTATTATCTAATAGTTAATTACTACACTGCTGAAAGTTAAGAGATTTGCCTAAGTTATATTATTAGTAGAAAATAAAAATTATATAAAGTAAACAATAAATTCACAATATGATTACTTAAGTTAAAAATTTCTTTTATAATATAAATTTATTTAAGTTTTCTTGATTAATAGTTGTTTAACGAAATAATTAACGTACATAAGGTTCATCAAAATATAATTAAAAGAAAATATTAAGATTCCTACAAACTCTGGTTATAAATTATTTCAAACATAAACAACGCTAAAAAAATTGTTCCAAGCTATTAATACGTACTTATAATATAAATAATATATATATGTACAATACTACAAGCATACCCTGCTTAAATCTTAGCATGGCATGATCGTAAATTCCATAATCTCGAAAAACTACAGTCCCACCAGGTTTTAATACCTAAATAAACAAAAAGAACTAATTTAAACTGTTATTAACTAACTCTTACGAAAATCTACTTTATTAAAATGTAAATAAAACAAGAGGCCAAAAAATTTTCAAAGCGATAACTATACTATCAAAAGATTTTGAATATAAAATTAACAGCAAAATCTAACTTGAATACTTGGTAAATTGGTTGGAGAGCTTTTCTCATTTCTAGTGGGGGGATTGCAGACAAAACAAAGAACATAGTTACTACGTCAACCGAGCTTTCGGCAATAAAATTAGTAAGGCGAGAAGGAGAGGTGGTTAAATCCAAAACAAAAGCATTCACTTTTTGTTCGTCATAAAGAGCATTCTCCTTATTAAAAAATAAAAAAAATAATACTTTTTTTTAATAAATTTTAAATACTTTCAAAATCTCAACAGCTCGAGGAGAAAAATCACAGCAGTGAACAGAAAGATTTAAATTGTATTCTAGAAGAGGGAAAATAGTATTTCCGACGCCGCAACCAACTTCAAATATGACTTTTTTCTAGGAAATTTTTTAGCAAGCAAACAATAAAATATTAATATAGTATTTTAAGAAAAGTGGTCAAGTATGTAGTGTACTTCATCACTTTTATCAAATAAATCCGAAAACTCTTTAGTTATCCAGTGGCGGTCTTTAAAAAAGTTGGAGCGATTACGCTTATAAAAAATGTTCCAGTTCTTAGCACAATCCTAAGAATGCAAATTATTTATATTAAAAGACTGACTAATCCTCACTGAATAAGATCTTTAAACTTCATAATAGCCTTAACTTTACTTTTTCAAACTTATTTTTCCAAAAATTAGGAATCAACTTGTTGTCAGTTTTCAAAATTTCTACTTCTCTCAAAGTTAATTCACGAGGACTTAAAGAAAAAATGGTTTTTTTTTGCAAAGCAGGCAAGCAAATATTAACCCTTTCGATAAGTGAATCATTGCTATCAATTAGGTTCATCTCTTGTTAAAAACAAAAAGTTAAAGGAGACACCCAAGAAGGATAACTTCGGCTGTAATAACAGCACAATGTTTAATAACCCCTTATTTGAACTAGTTTCGTTGCAAGTCCGCACATGTATCCACTATATATAAGTGTCGGGGAAGCAATTGTAACAATTGTTTTTAATAAACAAATAACTGGTCTTCAATGACGCCAACTCATTATAAGATGAATAGTATTTTAATAATTAAGCCTTGTAAGTAGTAAAATCTCTACATGAAGGAATGGCAAGTCTTAATTCACCCCTGCAAATAGTAAATACGCTATAATTTACATTTACGTGGAATACATTACAATATTGTAAAACCTAAAAAAAAAAATTTTTCACGAATTTTTTTTTAAATTTATGTTGGGAACTAAATAACAACTAGGTCCCCAGCAACCAACACACTTAGCGACTACAGGCACAATGATCGTACAGGATAATACCATACTTAAAGCTATACGTCCCTCTACGGCAATCGAAGCGCTCCACGAGCTGTCCTCCGATCTCTTTCCAGTTATTCTCGATTTAGGGGATGAGGACACACCAAAAGCCATTACACGTATGTTTACCGGCTACGACAAATATGCTGATGTATTAGAAATCACCTGCCTGCATGTCCGTCACCGCCGTCCACTCCCGCCTGACGTACAAAAGACACTTAACTGGCAAGGTCTACCTTTTATTCGAGGAGCCATGTTGTCGCAGAGCGTCGAAGACAAACTTGCGCTTAATCAACTTCACAGGTGCATTAGAAAAAGACTAATGGCCCATTTTAACCATAAATGGAAGTGCAAACTGTCTCATATATCAGAATCAGGCAGCAGCAACCTCTCCTCTTTTTGGCAATTTGTTAAAAGGATCAAATATCGGGGGCTTGGACCACTACCGCCTCTTAGTGAAGGAAATATAGTGATCGAGAGTGATAGAGAAAAAGTTACGCTTGTCGCCAATGTTCTTGCTATCCAGAACGTGCCAGCTGCTCACTATACTGGTAATGGGTGATGCGTCCCCTCCAGCTGAGCTTACCCCTCTCCGTTAACTACGAATCAACTTAGTCTAGTTAATGTTGACGAGGTGAAAGCAATTTTTGAAGAGCTACTAAACGAAAAGTGAGGAGTCCCGATAGCATCACTAATGAGATGCTGAAGAAAATGCCTTTAATAGGGATGCGCTATCTTTACCTCTTTATAAAATCTTCGATACTCCTTGGCACCTTCCCGATCCATGGAAAACGGCGATCGTTGTGATGCTACCAAAAACACTTAAACCCGGAATCAGCATCTTGCAAGTACCGACCCATCAGCCTACTGCCAGCGGCCGGCAAAGTGGATGAGATCGTGTTACTGCGCCGTCTTAGAGAGGTCGTTGACGCTCGGAAAGCTTTTCCGGAATTTCAGTTTGGGTTTCGGCAAGGGCGCTCAACGACCCAGCAGTTCCTCCGCTTAACTGAATGGATTCGCGCTTTTAACCATGAGAAGGCAATAGGCGCTCTCTTTCTTGACGTTGAAAAGGCATTTGACCAAATTTGGCATGAAGGTCTGGGAAGGTTACTATAAATGCAATGAAGAGCCAAAGCTATATTAATTTCAAAGAAACGCGTCCCGTTGTTGATGCCCTTAACCTTTAATGGCGTGAAGTTTCCAGGGTGTTTTCAAGTGAAATACCTAAGAATTATTCATCGACAACAAATTTTCCTAGCGCCCCACGTGGGCTACGTAGTGGCGAGGGTCAAGGCATCAACTAAGGTGCTTCATCCCTTACTTTGCGGTAAAAGTAAGCGTTCTCTGCTAAACAAACGGCATTGTATTTGTCTTACATCCAGTCTATAATGACGTACGCGTCTGCTGCTTGGACCTACGACTCCACAGCGATAGCGTCGGCACTTCACGTGCGACAGAACATATGCTGCGTTTCTGACAAAGGTGCCGAGGTTTGTGCGAAATGATACTGTTCACCCAGGACCTGCAGCTGGACTCTTTAAACATTGTTTTCCAACGCCATGCTGTGGTCTTTTACTACAGACCCACCAGGCACACTAATGGCTTGCTGGTAAGCGAACTTATTAACGAGACGCGGGAAGGGGCGCGTTATCGCCACCCAGGTGACGAGCTTAAGCATGTTTTTTTTTGTTAAATTTATAAAAAGAGGCACCCTGAATGCTATTTGTAATAGATCTGCGATCACTCCTATTTGAGAGCTCGAGAATTCGGTTTTTAACTCGATCGAGCACCAGGAACTGTATTAATAAAACAAATAACAACATTTGGTATCCACGTGGGTGTTAATTTTTAATTTTGAAGTTGAAGTACTAATTCTCCGACGTGGTTATCGTTTTTGATCGTTACTTTGCTTATTAACGCCCTACATTAGTAATAACTTACGCTATATGGAAAATAAAGTTTAAAACTATTGTTCAGCCTAAGGTTGCTTTTTGATAAGATCTTCCTTTTTAATATCTAGTATTTTTGTTTCTTTTAAAAAGTTTGCTATCTACATTTGGTAGTCCGACAATATATTTTTACTTTAGTAATAAACTGGAAAAATGAGCATTAATAAGAGCGCTAAGATGATGAACTTCGTCAATTATAGGATGAAGGTAACAGTTACCGATAATCGAACACTTATTGGTACCTTCATGGCTTTTGATAAGCACATGAACATCGTGCTTGGTGACTGTGAAGAAATAAGAAAGGTAAATAACACTCTAATTCTATTGGTATGAATATATAATACTTTATTTTTGAAAGGTTAAATCCAAAAAGGCAAAGTCTGAGAAAGTTGAGCGTCGAGTGTTAGGCCTTGTTTTACTTCGCGGAGAAAATGTTATTCAGATGAACATAGAAGGCCCTCCAGTACAAAATGATAGCCGTTCAAAAGCGGCAGCAGCAGCCGGTATTGCGATAAAACTTTTTATATTGCTGAATAGTTTTGTATTATACTGCAAGCTAATGCTCCTCCGGGACCGGGGATGGGTCGCGCTGCTGGGCGGGGTCTCCCCACCGTACCGGTCGCTCAGGCGCCGGCCGGTTTAGCTGGACCAGTTCGTGGCATTGGTGGCGCTGGGCCTAGTGTGATGCAACCCGTTCCTTGTATGAAATCTTTTGTGTAGTTGAATTTGGCGGAAAGAAAATAATTTACTGTGCAAAACCTGCTAAACTATAGCTTTAATGCCCCAAGGCTACCCTCAGCCTACGCAAGCCGGATCTGTTAACCAGTCTTACCCTCCTTTTCAAGGTCCTCCTCCCGGCTTCACAGGCATGTCCCTTGTTGAGCTCAGACAATGCTCGTATTAACATATTCTCACCTGCTTTCAAAGGAGCACCACCCGGAACTTCTCAGTCTCACCCCCCGCAACAAGCTCCCCCAGGAATGCCTCCCCAAGGGCCCCCTCCTGGGTTTCCCGGCGCTCCGCCGTCATTCTCGCCTGTCGGTAGATCCCCTGTTGGATATATGCTCCTTGAGATACTAACACTTGAAATTTTATAATGATATTTAGGGCGGGGCCTCCCTCCTCAATTTCCACCTGGGTTAAGACCTCCTGTCGGCATGCCTCCCATGGGTCTGCGGGGCCCGCCGCCTCCAGGTTCGTTGCCGCTCATATTACTTCTGCTTTCTGCTTGTGTCATCGCGCTGTTTAGGTATGTTTCCGCCAGGCATGCCTCCTCGTGCACCGCCTGTTATGGGTATACCCCCCCGTGGCCCGATGCCAGGACAGCAGTGACGGCTTGATTCTCCGCTTTACATGGAAACATAATTATATTAGGTTCAAATAAATAAGAAACTAGGGCGAATGAGCGAGCATGGACTGGACAAGCACTTTGTTGTAGTAATAAAAATACTTAATTCGCACTTGACTTCGCTGTCGATAATTAGCAATGAGGTTGTACGTTGCCCCAGGGCTCTACCTTTACTTCAGTTCTCACATATATAATAAAGCTAGTAAATTATTTAGAACCCCAAAAGCCATATCTGCGTAAAAGACCATCATTTTCCGGTGGTACCACAAGTTGTCTATTAAGTTACATGGTGAAATTTTCTGGGGGTGGTCTTTGTACTTAAGGAGCTGAAAATTTATCTTTGGTTGCTGGGCACTAATTTTTATAATTTATATCATTCTCGCTTGACTCTCGAGTATTATTACCTTTAATTCTTTATTGAATACTTGCTATAGATTACAAATACTTCTTTATGATGCGATTTGGAGGATTATTAGGTAATTAAGATATTGCCTTAACAGAATTCTTTCACATCTTGATAAACAATGTTTATTATAACCGGTAAATAGCATGTTTTTTAATAAGTCTTTCTATTGTACAAGGTAGAGCAAAAAAAACAGTGTGGACGTAAATTGCACTAATTTTAAAAGAATTTTTATTTTACTTTATAAAACCGGGAAGGCAATAGTTACTAGCTTATGTTAAAAAGATATGGTTAAAGCCTAACAACGTAAAGGTGATGAAGTTAAGCCGAAACAAACAAAGCTAACTGAAAAAAACCATTTAAATTTCAATAAGGATTACAAATTAATGGCAGGCAGCTCAAAAGCAATTTAGTTTTTAAGTTCAATGTCGTCGCCAAATTTTATTATTTGCATAAAGGTGGATTATTAATTTAGTAAAATCACTTAATGTTAATAATAGCAAGCTATATAATATCAAATAACTAATCAACTGTAAAATGTAAAATGAAGTACAGCCCAATATGGAAGACCCTCGTCTACAAGTTATAAAGGAAGCTTTGCCCACGATAAACAGATCTTTACTCAAGGTAGTGTTTTACTTTTACCTATAAAATGGACAATCGATGCGCCAAATCCTAAACCTGCTATAAAGTATTATATCATATCTAAAATCTTTATTTACTCATTAAAAAATATATTTTAATTAAAAATTTTTTGACTAAAGCTCAGGGTAATAAGGTCTAATACACACTCTAACTCGCAGTATATCGCTTATTTACCTAAGATAATCTAAGAAAATACTTAAGTAAAAAACCAAACCCTAAAAAGTTGATAATAAAGTTTATTCGAAATAACCAAAGACTAAAACCCAGAAAATAAATATCTTTCCCTCGCTTCTTTGTCCACTGTCTAATGAGAGCCCTTATAGAAGAGTCTTGCGGTGGCCACATTATTTTTTAAAACTTTCTGTTTTTGTTAGGGCGACCCCTATTAAAAGTTTTCTTGGTGAGAAATATATTATGTCCATAGTTATGTTATGTAAACATAAACCGGTTTTGTAGTTTTTTTAGTAAGAAGGCTGTTTTTATATCAGTAATGTGGGCGGGAATGGTTAAAATTTTTAATATAGCGAAAGGTAACCGGAAAAAAATATTGAGTGAACAGGAGAGAAAATTTCTTGATGAACGGTTAGCTTTTTTGTTGAAATTCTCTTCTCTGTATCTTGCTTCTTATTGGTTGTTAGTTTTAGATATAGCCTTCATGGGGTTGTTCATAACTTTTTGTAGGGTAAATGTATTAACACCAATTATTTCAAAAGAATAATAAATTATTGGTTATTCCAGTTGTAGGTTAAGAAATTTCGCGCTGTTAACGTTGAATGCTTTTTTTTTCTTAGCTTGAGTTATTACTTTTTAAATTTCTTATTTTTTAATGTTTTTTTTCTTCGCAAGTCTAGTGCAGGACAAGTTTTATCGTGAACAGGCATATCAATGGTAGAGTCATTTTATTATGGGAAAAGTCGAAGGATTTTGATGCGGAAGCTCTGCTATTACAAAGTTAGCAGATTTTTTTTTAATTTAAAGCTGTTTGTTAGGCTTGTTAATTGGTTGTAATGGGACCTCTTTAAAGTTTTTTGTCTAAGTCTGAAGTTGTGTCCGGTTTTTACGTAGATCACATAGTTTAATTTAATTGTGGTGAGTTGTCTTGAGTAATTAAAATTGATGCTAGGTTATTAAAAATTTCTTGAGAAGGTCGAAGAAGAGGTAGAAAAGGAGAGAGCGATCCGGCGGGGAGTAGTACAAATTAATAGATATGTAGAGTAAAGCAAAGGTAAAGGCTAGGTGCTGATCACGAAAAGAAGCGTGGAAGACCTTTTTTTTTTGGGTCTAGGTTACAAATTTATAGTTTTTTCTTATCAATTTTTTACTTAACTTTCAAATGTTAAAAAATTCGAATTTATTTTTAATGTAAAAATTTTGGAGAAGCGCCTTTGTTTTTGGTTTGTTACTCTCTAACTAGGCTAAAAAAATATGTTCCATTAATAATAACTGAGGAGTGTATTTTTACTCGAATAACTGTGATATTATATAGACACGTTACATCTATAGAAACTATAAAAAAAATATTTTATAACCTTGAAAAGAAGAATAAAAGACAATAATAACTTAATTCTAATGATAAAAACCTCTAACACTGGTCAACTTATGCAGAAATAGCCCTATAATTAAATAAATTTAAAACACCATTCAAATCCAAACTTGAACCACCGACAGAAGGAAGCGCTTACGAACAGTACTACAGTTTGTACGGTTCACTACGTAACGTTGCTGGTAGCACTAGACCTGCTTTTTGCACTGAGAACGTTGAACTACCTTTATCACAAAGAAATCTCATTTATATAAGACAAATATAATCCTAATTGAATGCTACTGTGACTCTTTGCGTTGAGCAAGTTCGTATCTAACACAATTGCATTAAAAAATATATTCAGTATCATTCCAAACTATATAATTAAAGTAAAATTTTACAATGACAATAAAGCTATAAAAGATATAGCAAAAGGGAATGCATTAAATAAGAGATTAGACATAGCGGCCTAGGTTACCATTGCGTCAAGTGGGTATTTCAAACGAAAAGCGTATCTTCAAATTTCTACTTTGCAAATATATTTACAAAACTACTCTTTACTCAAACAAAAACCATTCGATAATTTCCTTATAGTCGAAATATAATAATATGGGTGTAACAAGCCAAGAGCAATACTGCTATATTTACATAAAACATGCCACATGGCACTAACTTCGTCTTTATTTTATGCTCTCCACGGCGACGCTTAACCCTTAATAGTAGTAGTTCGGGGGTGGTTTATTATACGCGATTTTGTTTGTAATATATATATATTAGGTATATCGTATCAACTTACAGTATCACCTAGAATGGCAACTGTGGCAAGCGCAGGACCTTTTGTTACTAATTTTTTTTCCCGTAATATTTACTCGTTCGTCGAAGAGGCTATTATACATTCTTTTTCCATATAGATACCTTGACTTCATGTGGCTAATGGTGACTGTACTTAACACATTATAAAACTTTTAACGTATTCTCTTTTACCCGCCCACAAGTTATGTAACAACGAAAAATCTTTATTTGACAACTATATATCTTTATCACTGCGAGTTCATAAACATATATATAATTCATTATTTAATAATTTAGAGCATGGTGGTCTGTAACGACAAGAAATATAACGATACAGACCAGCTCAACTTTAAAAATTGAAGCTTCGCCGTAGAACACGGCTAATAACAAGCGAGGTATATAGCAAGCAACAGCGATCTATTTTTGCTTGATTTCTCCTAGGGCTCGTTACCTTAAAAAATTACTTTTTGTTTCTCTTCCCCCTTCCCTTCCCTACAGCCCCTTACGGCGGCGTTCTCTTTTCGGCGTGGGAAATCTAACTTTTATAATATATAGTAATTAGAAAATAATTAATAAGGGTATGTATATATATACTCCTACACAACAGAACATATACAATGAAAAAAACACAAGGAAAGAAAGAAAGAGAATTATTATTAAAAGTTAGTATTCGCTTTATTTTTTTTTTTTAATTGGCTTCCCTAGTGTTCGATCGAGTTAACATTTTCGGATGCATGAGCTCTCACACAAATAATAATATTATTATGTCTCCTTCACTTTCAATTTTAAAAGCTAAGCTAGCTTTTAACTGTCATGCTTAGAATGCGTCCTACCAAAACTTATAAGCGCGTTCACCGCTAGAAGGCGATTAGCGTGTACAGCAATCCGAAGACTTTATTCGTTCTTGCTAACAAGCCCTAGTGTAGTAGCCCTATATTTATTCAATTAGATTGTAAAGTTGCGATTAAATTTTTTTAGAACGTAAAAATAATGCCCTTACAAAGAAATATTGCAGCGTGTCCAAATCTATTTCACACTAGCCAATTTTAAAAATGTTTTAAGTGATTTATTCGTACAATATAAAGTAATTACTTAAAATTTTGTATAATAAATATTAAAAAAATTTAATAAAACTATAATTAAGTAATTCTTGCGGACTTTACTTAATAAAGATTTTTTCTAAAAAAATAGTAAAAATCAGAACCTAATAATATAGTATACAAATCTAGTGGACCTCGGGCGAAAATTTTTAGTATAAAATCCACTTTCACCTCTAAAATAAAGAAGCAAGCAAGGAAATAGTTTCCTATTTAAATAAAAACTTTCGATACGCAAGGATTTATATCCATCCTTAGTAGAGAATAGAGGATATATTACTTTTAACACAAAGATTGACAATGTGTAATTCACTGTCACCACTTTTTCGTAGAAATGAATATTATAATTATTAAAATGCCATGCACTACCCCCCCAAAGCAGGATTTTTTACTTTACACGCATTCATACTAAAGAAGGAACAAGTAAGTTAATGGTTGAATGAAGAGCGAATCTTTTATAGTTAACGATTTTTCCTATTCTTCAGAGGACCACGCTTTTTTTAATAAAAATGGTTACGTTACCTTTGACAACTTTTTAACTAAAAATGCTGTAGTTTACTTAAGGTTTTTGTAGATGTAGTTATATAATTTCCTTTTTTTGTTTTAATTTTTGGTGTTTTAGGGAGAATTTTGATTCTGTTGTAGAAAGTAAAGTGAATAAAGTTCACAATGAATGGATTTTATCTCTTCATCAATTTCTTGAAGAAGATAATTGGCTCTGGAATTTAGCAACTGAGCCAAAGCTCCTTGTATTGCCTTATTTTTTATCAGTTTTGATAGGCCTTACGTGTTTTATATCTCGGAAATTTTATTTTATTAATTTTTAAAAAATATATATTTTTTTAAATAGGATATTTTGAAAGCAAAGCGTAATTTTATGTATAATTGTTATACTTTAAATATTATGATATATATGTATTATTATAGCACTCAGTTATTATAGGGAAAAATTAACGTTTTAAATTTTAAACTAGGAGTACTTTTTTTGGGGGTCAAGTCTATATAAGTTTAAGCCGTTTAAATAAATTTTCTATGCGATTTAAATATATAAGGGTGGCAGAGTTATAAGTTACTACCTTTCAATATCATCAATCTAAACTTTTTTAGTTTTTAGTTCATATATTTTTATTTGTTACTCGGCTTATATAATTGTACAATTTTAACTCTTTTTGTTATACAGGAAGTTCTCCGCCTTCATCTTGGCGGAGATTTGGTACTTTACTCTACACAGCTATCCTATAAACCTCCTCACGGGGGCCGAGTTGTTCCGTGGCATCAAGACGGCGAACACTGCAGGACTGTAAGCAATAAAATTTAAAATTCATTCTATTATCGTTTACTAAGCAAAATATTATTTTTTTAGCGCTCAACATAAAATTATGTATAAAAATTAAGTTAAATATACACTCCTTAGAAAATTAAATTAGGAGAACCAGTAGAAACTTTATATTACACAACTCGATAACTTTCTAATACTTTCTTTAGGTATGGATTCCTCTTGATGATGTTAATTTAGAAAATGGCAAGTCTTCATATACAGCTGCGTTAAATCCCATTTTTCTCTGAGCGGGATTCTGTCAATTTCCAGGAGGGTTGGTGGTGCAGCCCGGCTGGCATTCAAAGGGGAGACTCCCTTACCGGCTTGTGCAAAACCAGATTGAGTACGAAGAAAGCCTCTTCAATATGCAATACAGCGTTTTTAGAAGCGAGCTGGGCATGGACGGGGAGGTTTTGCTTTTCGACTAAAATACTGTTTGTAGATCCTTATATTTATTTTTTCTTTCTGTTAGTACAAAACTACAACTGCAACAAATATATTTATCATTTTGCGTTAAACTTATGATTTTATACTCCTAATATAACAGGACTTTTTTTCCACCGCTAGCAGTTACACTCTTCCTTCCGGCTCTTTAGAGATCCACCATCCCTTGCTTCCTCACTGCAGTTTTCCCAACCGCACTGACACTCCTAGAAGAGTTATTATACTGAGGTCTTCGGATTAAATTTTTTCTTAAGGTTTTTCTGTTTTAGATTTTCGATTGCTTTTAGGTATCAACCAGCTACCGAAAAGATTTACAATAATCCAATAACACACTACAAGTAGTTTGACTTATTTTAATAACTTCGTAGTTTGGTTTACAAGTTGGATTGTTTTTTTTTTAAAGGACTGGCGAAGTGTTTAGTAAAGCAAACTACCTTGTAAGAGGCCGTTACGGGAGCCACGTAGCGGGAAAGAGCAGGACTTCTTGTCTTTTGTAATCTTTTATAACTCCTCCATTTTTATATTTCAACGCTTAACTTTTACTGACTAATCTTTTTCCAGACCTTCAGTGTTTGCAATCACTATGGAGAATCCGAAAGAGAAATATCCGAGGTCAGAAGTTAGGAAACCCTCCGCTCTACCGAAATGCCTTTTTTTCTCCTAAATACTTTTTAAGAAAAAATATTCTAGTTTCAAGGATGTTTACTCAGTACGCATTTATTAGCAAGTGTCCTTTACAGGAATTAAAAATGTTTGGGATCTTTTAGAGGCTTTATATTAAATAAAGTAGTCCAAATAAATTCCAAAATATTTTTTGCTTTTCTAATTTTATCACTTTTTAAAAATCATCGTGGTGAAATATTATTTTTCAGGGCATAGTTTTGTTTTTAAATTTTTTCAATAGTTTATAGGACTTTTGACTTTTGGTCTGTTATAAAAAATAAAATTATTTTATAAAGTGAAACTTTTTTTCTATTGCATTGCTATAACGCATATCTATCTTAGTAGAAACGCCTAGTTTTACCTCTTTTTTATATGGTACACCTCTAAATTCACTTTTTATAAGTAGGTAAAACCGTTTTTTAGGCTCTACTGTGAATATAATAGTAGTAACCGTTAATTTTATAAGGCTTTTAAAAACAAAAGATTAAGAAACCTTTAGATTAACTTGAATTAAAAAATTCAATAAACTTAACGCGCTTCCCATAAACATAAAAGAGTATAACTCTTGTATCTATATTACTTTACAATAAGTTTTGAGTTCTTTACGACCCCTTTAGTAAGTTTTAATAAGTAACATGCTTGTGTGCTCTGTGAACGATAAAGTTGTACATCAAGTATGATTAATTGTTACAAGGTGCACCTGCTACTAAGGGAGCAAAAGCTGTTCACATATATTTAGAAAAGTTTTTAAGATCTAAATGAGGCAATACAACGCACGACGGCTGGCCTGGTACACTTCCATTCTATCATATTAAACAATTGTGAGCTGTGGTTGGAGCTCGGTGTTTAATAGGATTCAGGCGCATATAAAGTCGTGGGTCTGGTCACTCTGTTTTCCGTTTTTTTTAATTCTTTAGCCCGTTCCGGTACATTCTTGAATGAAAATAGGTTTACCATACATTTTTTTAATATAAATTCCTATTTTTACTTTCAAATAAAGAGGTTTTCTTTTGTATGATAGGTTAAATGGGATCTACCTAGTGTATGACCAAAGTGCAGACTGATCCCCGAAGCCTATTTTTAGCCCAATAATAGCTTTGTTAATTCACACGCAGATATTATCGCAGGTCTTTGGCCACTGAAAACTTTGTATACAACTCCTCCTATTTTCCTGCTTATGACTAGAGGCTTTGCTTTAATACTCAATATGTGCGCCTTCGCTTAGTTGGTAAATATAAGTTATGAAATGAAAGGTAAACCAGGAAATTTCTTCTTAGAAGAAAGTTTTACTAAGGCCAGAGAATTATATGTTTGCTGGTCTAAATGTCACAAGCATTCTTTGTCTCTTTTGAATGCTTGGAACCAAGTATTAGATAGAAATACGGGGCTGCAACTTAATAAAGATTATAACGAACCATCTGAAGTCGTTGCTTCGTATGTTGAAAACTTTACACTTGGAAATAATTTAGAGCTTATGGGTTTGAGTTTAGTTTATATAATAAATTAATATTTAAATCTTTGTAATATAATACTTAAAAATCAAGATAACAGAGAAACAGTAACAAAGATTATTATAATAAATATACAGAGCCATTATTTTTACTTTTAGACTGTATATCCGACAGCTTTTACTTGTTAAATGTGTCTCTTGAGGCAATGCTTTTTTTTGATGTGGAAATTTTTTTACGAGGTTCTCAATTCCAATAGTTTTTATAAGATTCTTTCTAAAATAACTACCCTTTATAAGGATTGAGATTGGATTTGCAACTCTTGCTCTCCTATATGAACGATATGAAACAAATTTTTGATAAGGCACTACGCATATATAGGAGTAAAGAAGGTATATAATTTTTTTTAGAAATTGAAAAAATACATTTGTTTTTTTTTTTTAATTAAGAGAAAATGGGTTTATTGTGTTTAAGTGAAGGGACTGCTACTTCCATTAGCCTTGTGTGCCAAGTAGAACTTTTAGAGAGGGCCTACCAAACTTTTCAAGCCGAATATACAAGTAAAAGCAGATCTTTACAGGATTTTACTCGAAATACTTTGACCTGCATCACAAGGAATGAAGTAACCCAGCGTTTACGCACATATTAATAACTTACAATCTGTTATTATAACATCTATGTAACTACATCTTTTTAATTTAGTAATAGGATACTCAGTTCACTTTAAAATTATTCACACTTCTACTTAAATAGGAATTTATTAAACTTGAAAAAATTTATAAGGAATCAAACGGTGGAACTAGCGATTTCTGTTGTTACTTCTTAGCTTACAGTTTATAAATCCATATAATTTTTTTCTTAATAGTTCAGAAGATAACGGATTTATCGTTAGGCAGAGAAATTTTGTTGTAAAAAATTTGCGGGCGAACATAATAAGCATTGTTTTAGGTTAAGTTTTTTAATGTTACTTTTACTAGCTAAAGTTCTCGAGAACTTGTATGTTATATTCAATAAAGTGATTATAATCTATTATAATATAGATAATCCTTTAAACTAAAAAAAACGGAAAACCTACACTTTAGCTTTTTGCCACCTGGGCTCCTAAAAGAAAGAAAAATTATATTTAATTTAGTTACTAAACTTGAGGTGTCACAAAACCCTTAACCAGCTTCAACTATCTTTCCTTCGTGTTAAAGAATGGAAAAATGAAAAGAAAAGCCGCGTGGGCATCTGCAAAACTGCGGGACTGTGTGCTTGTCCGGCCCGTCTGGACTACACTGCCTGGTCTATCTAATATATCAAATGCTGATGGTAGTGCAAAATTCGGCCGTTTGCAAGGCTGGGGTGGTACTGTAGCACTTCTACCAGTAAATTGATGGGTGTGATTGCTGTATGCAATAGCGATGAGCATACGTTGACTTTTTTGATAGGGAAAATCTATAAGCTCCAGTTCACAGTCTCTTTGGAGCTGACTATTACACGAAAGCCACCTTCCGAACCAATTGTGAGTTTTAAGGATTTTTTGTGATAAGATTGATGCATAGAGCAGTATCTATCGTACACACGCCATTGAAGAGTTTTTAGGATATCCTTTTTTACATTTAAGCGGCGCAATGATTTCCGATATTTCTTTCTCAGATGCGGGCGATATGGTAAAGGGAGTTTTAATACTCAAAAAGAATATTCTTTCTTGTTCCATGTCAAGCTTATCAAGGTTAATTGCCATGCTTAAAGAGAATAAGTCGGCCACATTATTAATTAATTCCACTGCAGTGATAAGAGTCTGTTCACTCTTTTAAAAGGGCGGTGTAAATGGTTCAGTATTAATTGACGACTTTACGTGTCTAACCTATGCCCAGAGAGAATTATTAAATGAACATGACGACTTCTTTTTAGACTTCCGCGTATCGCTATTAGTGCATTGCTGCAATTATTAAGGGGTTTACTATCGGGGGGGGGGGGGGGGGGGGGTTACCCAAAAGTTGTGCCTACTTTTTTTCTACGCTTGCTGGATTGGCTATACTAAAGCTGGAAGCGCTTGTCGGCTGTAGGAAGTCCACAGCAGAATTATAACTTCTTTAAGTTGTGAATCGTCAAAGTTACTTGAGTATCTGTAAGGGATAATAATAAGTCCGTAACTTTGTTGTATTCTTTGTAAGTCCTACTTCATAATCCAGCTCTTCGTACTGTTGAAATTCCGCTACATAAGGTTAATGGCGATTATGTGAACTATAAAGATCTTTAATAGATATAACACGTTGCTATTAAAGATATAATGTATAGCATCCCTACACTTTTGGATATGTTAAAATTAACTTCATAAATATTTACTTTATTCCGCAATACTACAGAATTACACTGAAACAAAGTTAAGGCGCGTTAAACGTGTATTTATAGGATTGGGTCGCGAGAGGAACCGCATACGCAATAAGTTTTTTCTTAAAACTATTAACCAGTGCAAGGACAAAGCGACCACCGTGGAACTGCTCAAATTTTTTTAATAACTTTTAAAAGTGTTTTCAGCATTCACTGCACTTTTACTTTTACTGAAGTAAACAGAACAAGAGTAAAGTTTACTGACGTTACTCGCTTTATTAAATTTCTTTTCTACCTAATTTACAGACACTTATTAGAAGCTTTCTTGAAAGTTAAAATATTTTTTTTTAGTTTGTTTCCTTGCAGGCTGGCAGAAATGGCGTCTTTGAAATTTTTATAATCCCAAAAGGTGTAATCAAACTTAAGGATTTTCTTTTTATACATTTCTATACAAAACAAAGATTACTATATTAACAATTACTATATTATAAAAATCAAAGACAAGTATCAATAGTGTATCAAATTACAAATATAAATAATAATTATACTTGGGAAATATTTTATAGGGAACAAGCACGCCACGTGTACATAATTGTTTAAGCGCATTATTTCTGTTGTTATCATTATTACCTGCAATTTCGCGAAGCATTTCTCTTCTTGCTTCTGGCGGATTTTCTTTAGTCCATTTCGAGATCCAAAAACCTATATTTTACAAAACGTACGACACAAGCAAAAACAAACTCAGAGTTTGTATATTCAAGAAATATTTACATTTATTAAAACTTCTTATTAATTTATAAACATAGTTGAATAAAACTTAATAATAATAAGAATTAAAACTCAGCTGTACTTCTATAAGTAAATAATATTATTTTGTGTATAAAATATAAATTTGGATATATATTAAAACCAAAAATCATTAAATTTGGTCTAAATATATTATAATTATGAAAAAATTGATTTTTATTAAAAGTTTTTTAAAGTATAAGGAGGAAACAAACAATAGCAATAAAT